AAGCCGATGGTCTAGCAATGAGTAGTAGGAATGCATACCTCACCAAGGAAGAGCGAGAAAGGGCTACTATCTTATACCAGATGCTTCAAAGAGCCAAGGAGTTGTATTTGAAAGGTAATGTATATCCCTATCATTCTATGGATGATTGGAAGTGAACAAGTTCGATAGGCATCACGGTTATTGATCGAATACGAGAAGAGATGGAAAGTCTTGCTAGACAAGTTGACGGTTTTCATTTGCATTATGTTAGCATTTGTGACCCTAAAACATTTATCGAATATGAAAATGAGATTCCGCCTTCCGATACTTTAGTTTGTGTGGCCGGAACTTTAGGAAAAGCTAGACTTATAGATAATATACGTTTAAACTGACTGTTTTCTACTACATTTAAATACAATGTTGCTACAAGATAAGCATCACATTCTTTTGGATAGAAATGAGCTTCCCAGTTTCCGCGCCAAATTCTGGGAGATTCTTATCATTTGGCGGTTATTGGGCGAATTTGAAAATCAACGTGGCATTTCTCAACTCGTTCCGGAAGTCAGCAAAGGGTTTGAAGAAAGAGAACAATATGCACATGAAAACAACTTAGCTTGAAAATAGTTAGCTTGAAACTTGAAATGAAAGACCGCACTCCTTCCACTGTTTCACCGAAAAGACCAAAACCTATAGGACACAAGCCTTTGTTCTTATCGCAAACTTTAGAATCACTCTCTTTTCAAACAGTCAATTTCCAGACCTGTCTCCAAGACTACCTCATCTCTTCAATGATCTTATTTTGGGAGAAGAGCACGGTTCACAGGGAGCACCAATGTCTCCTCCTAAACAAGAAGCCTCAAAATCTACTGCTGACGAAATGTTTGGCTTCCATAGCATCTTTCAAGGGGATAATGAAACGAGTCTACAAACCAATCTTACGAAAACTCAACCGGAGAAACCTGTAGATTCTGATACTCAGCATTTGCCTGACTTGGACAGTAACGATACAGTCCAAGAAGTGCAGAGTCTCGAAGATAAATTTATTAGCACTTTATTTTTTGGAATGTCACTCGGTACATTCAGCACTCGCTATAGACTAACCAAACTTCACTGGATCAAATACTTTTTAGGAGACGGAAGGTATTTATTGGGTGGAGTAGTTCTGTCCATAGTTTATGGAATGTTACTGCCCGTGTTTGCTCTGTTGATTGGTAGAATATTGAACTATTACTTTGAGTTGGCTGATGGCACTCGTCTGTCGAATGCATCGTATGAAGATTCCATCCTTATTCCTTTCTTTCTTTTAGGTGGTGTCGCGTGGTTCCTCAACTTTGGACAGAATTGCATGTGGTACCGACTTGGTATGAAGCAGACATATCTAGTTCGGAAAAGAGCTCTTTACATACTTATGGATATGCCGACTCATCGAAAGGAATTTGCGTTGAGCATGCTTCGTGAGAAACACTTGACTGAAGAGGATTCGCCAGCTTTTAGAATGATGGAGGATTTTGGCAACTTTTTTTATTATGGCTCGGAAATGGTTTGCGCTCTAGTAATTGCTTTTGTTGGCAGCTGGCAGCTGACGCTACTCTTGTGTGGCTCTGGTCTGCTTTTAGTCGGCACTGGCATATTCGAGATAAAGATGCTAGAACAGTCTTTGCAACGAACTCGTACTCAAACTGAAGTAGAAAGTCATGAGAAACGTATCTTGGATAGTCTCCCATTGATTCACGAATGTAATACAGAACGCGAAGAATATCAAGTCTATTGCCAACTTTTAGATGATTTCTTCCTTGAAAATCTTAAAAGAAGAAGATTATACATCGCTTCTGCAAGCGTCTCTGTTTTGCTTGTCACGGAGATTTACATCATTGGCATTTGGTTTAGCGCTTGGCTAGCAGAACAGAAAATGATAAGCAAAGGGGATATCGTCAGTGTTCTTTTAGCTATTGGATTGGCTGCTGTGGCTATTGTAAGGTCGGTGCGCTTATTCCAGAGCGTTCGTGACTCCCGTTTTCACGTCGAAGAATTTTTTAGTACGTTTCGTAGAGACAACTCCGAGAATTCATGGTTTAAGAGTCATGCCTTGGTCATTTCTAAACGTCGCCTTCATGGCGAATTAGAAGTTCAGAATTTGAGGTTTCCAAATGAAAATTGGCAAAGAAGCAAGGGAATGTCCTTTTATGTGAGAAGAGGGGAAATTGTTGCTCTGGTCAGTAGAGATTTGGAAGAAGTTCATAAGATAATTGCCATGATTCAACGCAATATTCCTAGTGAATGTGGATTGATTACAATTGATGGCGTTGATATTACGCGGTTCAATGGAACCAGTTTCCGTTCCATTGTAGGCAATGTTTGCAATGCGAAAACGTTATTGGAGGGTACAATTGTGGAAAATCTTCAGTATGGGATGCGCGATGTGAATTTTAGTGATATTGTTACTGCTGCGCAACAGTCCTACATTCACAAATTTATTCAATCATTGCCACGAGGGTATCAAACCATGATCGGAACTCCCGATAGTCCTCACTTTCCTGAATGGGCTTATCATCGCTTAGCTTTATGTCGAGTCCTAGTTCGGCAACCTATTGTATTATTGCTTGATGCAAAGACTGTGGAGGCGTACATATACCACGATGATATTCCTGTAGATGCTTTGAAACAAATAGCAAAGGATCGTACTTGTGTGTTTGTATCCAATAGTGCCCTTGTTGTTCAAGCTGCAACAAGAATATGTGTATTTAAACATGGCGAAATTATCACACAAGGCAAACATTATGATTTGTTCGAAAATTGTTTGTATTATCGAGATGTTATTACGGAGGAATCCGAACCTTTCAACAATAGACTTTCTGTTCAAACATCTTCTCAAAATAACAAATCCTCAGAACCCCAAGCCTCGTTACTACATTTTCCGAGTAGCCTTTCGAGAAGCTCATCTGGCGCACTTGAAATGGACGATATGAACAATGGCATGGTATGATAAGTATCAACAGTGATAACTATCGAGGTTTTAGAAAGCGCATCTTTGCTTGTTTAGTTTGGAATCGAACTGTGAAATTTTTACAAGTAAATGATAACCATTGTATTCTATCTGTTGGTTTCATTGAAGAACAAGAGTTTTCAAGAAGCCCATCCATGACGACTTTTCAAAAAGGTATATTGACTTGACAACCATATTATTTGTTTGCCTCAACTAGAGAATATCCATTTCTGAAAAGTAAAAAAGGGTCATTTCAAGTCGGCCGTAGGGAATATATCCCTTTCTCCAAAACCTACGAAAGTATGAAACGAATGGAAGATAATGGAAAAGTGAACACAAACATCATCTCTCAACAAGCATTAGGGAAAACATCTTGTGCAAAAACTTGTCGTTTCTCTTTTTAAGAACGGTGGATGGGTAGTCATAGTATTACTCATCCTGCTAGTCACAGTTTCTAGAGTCATTTTGTAACACAAAAAAGAGAGAAAAAGTAGTTTATGAGAAGTTGTTTTTTAGGAAAAGGACGTGTTGACTATCCCTACTCGTATAGACGATAAGTATATGGAGGAGGAGTTGTCACAATTGATTTATGAAAATGACTGTAGTCCCTGGGTTGGTTATGCTTTTTTTCTGTACGTATTTATTGCCTTTTGAAATAAGGAACATTGATTGGTTTGGAATATGTACAGAATGATGGCGTGGAATAGGAGTTGAGAGGCATCGGATGAAAGAGACTTTAACCCTTCATAACATCCAATGCCTAGAAAATATATTTTTCATATAGGATCCCCATATCCATGATATAGTGCATCATAAACTGAAAAAAGAAAGTGGGTATAATGATTATCACGATAAACACTTAAATGGAAGTTATAGAAGGATAACAAACCCTAAAAAATAGGACTTGTGGTGCTTATCCGGTACAAACTTCCTAGAGAAAACGAGGAATGATTCCATCTTACTACTTGTTCTCAAGATATGATAGTATACAAAGTGAAGCATGGAATCATGACAAATAGATCCACATGATAACAACAAGATGACGCATTTTTATCACAATGGTTTGCTATAAGGTTTTTCAGGTCCCGAAGAACTACGCTTGATCAATTCCACCCAATATCTAATAAGTGATAATGTCAAATATATATATATATATATATATATATACTTTTCTACAAAACCTACCCATCGGGATCGGCAACAAATGCAATCTCTCCCACATCCTATATTCAAAATAGATTCATCTCATTCTTCTTCCATTTATCTATCTCAACTTACTTGAAAAGGACCTGGTTTTCGAACAATCTTGTATCCTGCCCTTTCTACATTTTCACAAGCACGATAGATATCTAGTAACCAATCCATCAAAAATAAACCCTAAATAATCCCAAGACTTTCTCTAACCATCCACTGTCAAACCAATATGACCAAATCCTCGAGGATCGACATTTCCATTATGATATATTACGCTATTATCAGATTCCGTTCCCCACTTGTGTTCCAATACCATTTTGGGGAATCGGGTACGAAGAAGAAACTCTAAACGTTCTTTGTCATCAGAAAAAGAGACTGGAATGGAGCTATCGGTGTATCCATAATAATAGTGGGTTATCTTATCATCTGAATAATCGATACGACAAAGCAACTTCATTCCCAACCCATTTTCATAAAATGATTGACTTTGAATAGGATCTTTGATACGGAACATAGTCTAGATACATATGTGTATACATAATACATAAAGAATGAAAAGGAAGACTTACATGAGACAATACCGGATCTCTTCCAATAAGTGTTTGTTCCCCAGAAAAAGTGGGTGAATTTCTCGACATCAACTGAATCCAATAGCCATCGGGATCAGCAACATAAGCAACGGGTGCATTCTATATAACCCAGTTGGAAGGGTTAAAAGTGTGTTGCCAACTTACCTTCGATTCACTTGTTGTGATGACTGCTACATTATGCTTCTTTAAAGCTTCTACTGCTTGATGTACGTCATCCACTATAAAGCCAATGTAACCAAACCCTTTAGGTTCTTTGTTACCGTTGTGATAACAAAAATGGGGATCCTTTTCTGTACCCCAGTTATGAGTCAGTTCCAAGGTAGGGTAAGGAACATTCCATAACCACTGAGCACGTTGTGTTTGTGATTGTTCCATAGAAGGTGGTGTGTCTTGAGTATACGCAAAGAAATAGAGTGAAAACGTGAGACTGGGAAAGTCCAACCGAGTCAACAATTTCATTCCTAGTTTGTTTTCATAAAAGTCTTTGCTCTTTTCAGGGTCTTTGATGCGAATCATAGTTTGAGCAAATACAGGGTTCCTTCCTATCAAAGCCAGTTGTGGTGAAGTCATAGTGGTTGAAGAAATGGAGTCGAAATGTTACAAGTTTGTTATGATTGATGGCCTCAAGAAGCTCTTGTTTTGCTATTCTTTGTTTGGGGAAACATGGTACTTGTGGTGTTTGTCACTCTTTTTTCTTTAGGAGTAATAAAAGATGGAGTTTTTGTGAATTGTCATTCAGAAAGCAACCAAAAACACTCAAGTTGGGCATCGGAAGGCTTTCTTGTTGTCAACACGTTGAGGACGAAGAGTCTCCTCCTCCTCCTACTTCTTCTTCTTGGATGGAACGACTGAAGAAGGACCCAAGATGGGAAGATATATTTACACTGACATTATCATTGGCAGTTGCTTGGATGTTCCGAGTGTTTGTAGTGGAACCGCGATTTATTCCTTCGTTGTCCATGTATCCCACATTTTATGTAGGTGATCAATTACTGGTGGAAAAAGTAAGCAAATGGGTAAGACCCATTCAACGAGGTGATGTTGTCGTGTTTCATCCTACTGACCAACTCGTGGCTTATGGATATCAAAAGGATGAAGCTCTCATCAAACGAGTGGTAGCTGTGCAAGGAGACTTTGTATATATTAGAGATGGCAAAGTATTCGTGAACGCTATTCCAGTAGTAGAAAAGTATATTGCAGAAGAACCGAATTATATTTGGGGTCCAATCCAAGTTCCAAAAGGCTATTTGCTTGTTTTAGGTGATAACCGAAACAATAGTTTTGATTCGCACGTGTGGGGTCTTCTTCCAACTGAAAAAGTTATTGGTAGAGCTATATTCAAATATTGGCCTATTCATCGAGTTGGATGGATTGAACACTAAAGTCGGGGTTTATATCATATTGACATTTTGTGGTGTGGTCACAAACCGAAATGTTCCTCCACTCGTTGCAAATAAGCGAGAACGTCGCTCACTCGCACGTCTTTGGAAAACAATCAATTCATAAAGGTCATCCACCATGGTTCGATGGATATTCCAATAGGCATGATAGGTGAAACTCATATTGCCAGCCAAATCGGAAGCATCAATAATATCCATATCGCAAAACTATCCTGTTAGATAAAAACAACAACACACACAACTCCCAAGTAACTTACTTGTTCAAAAGTATCACAAAAGGGAGCAGTTTGGTGACCTAATGAAGGTTGATACCAACAAAAAGTTTCCGCAATTTGAACAGCACGATCTCGTTTATCCGCATACAACGTAATCTGCCCAATCAGACAAAATATATTCAAATGAATGAAAACTTACACAATTACAAACTTCGTATAAATCAGGAAAATCCGTTTGGAAGGCATCCAACTCATAATCAGGATTCAAAAAGATGAGTGTAGATAATTCCATGCCTGAATATTGTATAGACTGATCGAGAGTTGAACTTTCAAAAGGAGGAGGAGGAGGAGGAGGAAGATCATCATTTGTCATGGAAACCTTATCGCAAACCATACAACGATCTTGTTGGACTTGATTCGTTGCAGGTAATATATCCATATCTTTCGTAGGTATAGATATGGACTGAGAAGTATTCCTTCGGGTTTGGAATCGTTTTCGAATCAAAGGAAAAGCTCTTAAAAAGAGTCGAGCACCCATACTATGTATCATAAAGTGTACTTTTCGTATTCCGGCATAATGAAGGCTTTGTAAGAATAAATCCAAGTCTCTGAAAAGCAAGCTCAAATCATCTTTTTGTATTCATAGGAAACCAAGAACAACCATACCTTTGTACATTGTTACTACTAGCATTGCCAACTGCTAATGAATAAGAAAGTGGACTAGTAAAGGTTTCATATCATCGGCATTTTTCAAGTGTATGTTTCTTACTTACCTTGTTCCTGCAGGCCAATTGAAAACAAATGTCTTAAGATGAGCTGGTAAGTGGGCCATTGCTAAAAACTGACCAAATCTCTTAAGTGCATCGACCAACATGTGATTATAGCCCTATATATTCGAACAGAATGAAAATAAACGAGAAGATTATAAACTATTATCTTACATGAATAAACACAAGTGCTTCAGTATCCACGGTCTTCTCCCAACCCTTGTCCACTATCAAGTTTGACAAATTGAGAAACTGACTGCTAAGGGAACCAAACCGTCGCTCCGGATTCTCTACAAAAGCAGCCAATGAAGAATTACCTCGAGAATGACTCGCTGTACTTTGTTTCTCCACATTTTCTAAATAAATAGTAACTTGTTGTGGTCGAATACTAGTAAGTGATGATGACTCGTGTTTGGGATAATGGCCTTGAACTTTCAATCCATCGTTATCCACAGATACTAGAATAGAAGTTAAACGTTTGGTATCTTCTAAATGACGATAATATTTCAATAACATTTCCTTTGCACAACTGCAAGAGTCTTCCTTGCTATGAAGACATTGACATGTTTTTGACTTACAAATATCTCGAACCACTGGATAACTAGAAGAATAGAAAATGATAAGAATACAAAGACGACTCATCCATTGACTTACCCATCCAAAGAAATATTCCCTGAAACACAACATTCGGCAGATGCTACTCCCCATTGAGGTTTTGCACGAGTCAATGTTTTTATACCTTTTACATCCGACATATATATCATACGAATGTTGATAAGCACATTGCCTCGTTCTGCTCCAGTTACATTCTCTTGACTTTCAAATGGACCTACGGGAATGCCATGATCAAAATAGCCTATGAGATTCTCTCCATTGGGACTGCTATCAAACCAAGCTCCGAGTCCATGAGGTAAATCTTCCTTCAATGGACCAATCTATAGATACAAATAGGCTCTGCAAAGTATAAGTTGAATGAAGCCATACTTACAAAATAACATTGATGAGCTTCCGAAATCGTTGGTTTGACAAACCAAGGAAACAACAAATGGAGATATCCTTGATACTGGTGAATCGCAAACTTTCGAATCCAAAAATGATAACGTTCATCTCCATGTTGCATCAATAACCATTCATGCATAGCATATGCTGGTGCAACAGAACTATGAGAAGTCTTGATATATGTTGCCTGACTATCTCTGCCTGTAGGGATATTCTCATCGGAACAACGAGTAGATGAAACACGAGTTTCTCCTCCTCCTGTATCTTCCACAACTCCTGCAAACTGAGTCCATTGGGTTAAATATCCTCTCAATAGGAAAGGCCAACAGTAATAGAACAATATAGTAAATATCACAACGCTTGCACAAATAACCAAACAAAAAAATCCCGTATAAGTCAATCCAGAGGATAACTTCTTGTCAAGAGTATGGTTGTGTGTACGACTCAGTATGTAATATATGTATAGAGCTAAGACAAGTGATTCATTGATATTCTGTATGATAACAATAAGAAAACAAGCTCACCTGTATATATTTCTGCAATAACCCACTGAAACATTTCACCTACTCGAGGAGACAACACAAACGCCAACAAAAAGACCAATCCGAGAATGAGATACTCATTCTCATCGTGATTCTTCAAAAGAAATATACTAATAAATACAAAGATAAGGTAACTTAGGAAAAACAAGGAGAGCCAGCTTTGAATATGTCAATCTGTTGGTTTTCATAGTGACACAGGTATACTTACAAAGGGATGTGTTTCGGAACTGTTAAAACAACACCCGCATTTTTCCTACTCCAAGAACGCCTCTTCATATAATTATAAGTCCTGTTCGAGTTTATCGGAGAACGAGTGGAACACATATAAAAATAGCATACTCTTCTAACCCAGTCAGTTCTCTTCTTCGCCTCTTCAAAAGTAACACAGAAGCTTGTGCACCACCAATTTCCAGTATACCTCTTAAAGAGAACGGAGAAGACCTTAGACTGGAAGCAAAACGACGTTCTTCTTCAACACAAGCTGCAATGTCACCCACTTTGGGATCCAACGGACTCGTATCCTGATATATAGACATATATAAACGAATTGGAAGAATACAATTCTTTAGATAGATAGCTTACTTGCCAACTTGTTTCCATAAGCACTGGACTGGTGACTAGCACCATTCAACGATAACTAACAAAGCTTGTTGAACCAGAATAATCTCATTTTATTCCAATGCACGACTTCCTTCAAACCCTCTCCTAGGAATGTTACTGAACAAAACTCGAACTTTCTTCTTCTTATTCTTCATAGGAGAAGAACCAAGAATATTTGTCTCTTCTGTGTCAGCTGATATGGAATACGCTTGTGATATGTTGTCAGGACTCTTTCCTGACCAAGGAATAGTGGAAGAACCACATTCTCCATAAGGAATACTAGGAAAATATCCCATATGAGAAGTTACAGCTGCATAACTCGATTCTTCTCCTCTACGAACTTCAGTCTGTCCAACAGAGTCATTTGATAAGCCAACAAGACTAGGGAAAGACTGCTCATTCATATCAACTGAAAATGAAACTTCACGCTGAAACCATTTCTTCCTTTCTTCTTCATATGCAGGAATCGAGTCCCTTTCACGGTGAAAGGCTAGCTCTTCCTCTTCTCGTCGAAGCCGTTCTTTTGCCCTTCTTTGTAGAGTTTTGGCAAACTTGTTCAATACATTTGCAGGAAGAACAGGGGATAAATCGAGCTACCAAAAACAACAACAACGTAAGTAAACATGACTAGAAGAATAGAGTTGCATAATCACACCTCGACAAAGTAAAACTCACAACCCAAAGGTAAATGCGATAAAAAGCGCATTCGTCTTTTCAGTTGTTCAGTCATCGTACAACGTTCCACTTCCACCACCTTTCCTTGAACGACTTGTGGTGCCAAGCACAAATGCTCATAATGTTCTAACAAGCATTTTACATTAAACGGATGCAAATACACATCTTGACCACTCTCTGCTTGAAAAATAAATCGAAAGTCATAAAGCTGAGAGGGATCCACCTCCCGGGATGGCGTTTCCATTTTCGTAGTTTGGCCATTTTCAGATGAAATTTCAAAGAATCGTTCTCTTCTTTCTTGACGGAGATTTTCTTCCAAATGCTTCCTTTTCTGCACCAACTCTTCTATTGCATAGTCTGCATAGGGAATATAGGAAGAGTCGTCTGTCACCATTTGCTCTATATCCTTTTCATCTCTCTCCAATAGATATAAAAGACGTTGGTCATTTGCAATGAATATCCTCGAATATATAGGCTGCATATAGCAACCGTGATGATCTTCTTTGTGATCATCCGGAATACTGCAATCTGCCAAATATGCCTGCCAAGACTCACGGAAAAATGGCTTTGCTATAAAGGACTCTTTTCTTCTAATAACAAGTCTCATACACTGTTCCATTCCAACATAACACGGAGCAACTAATCGAATATCTACTGGACGTAAGTCTTCCAACCGAATCTTCTTTCCACAAAGTGGACATTTACAGGCTGCCATATCATGAAAAGAAAAAAATCTTAAAAGACACAAAAGACAAAACAAATGTCCGCTAAAGGAAACCATTCAGAAAAGAAAAATGAGCTCATAGTTTCTGCTATACATACCACTTTGTCACTCGTGGGGCTCGAACCTTATCTAGACACACTGGACAGCACAAATTCTCCTGAACTTCATCATGGAATATAACAACTGCTTCCACATCTGGCCACTCCACTGAAACATCCAATAGACTATTTCCAGTATAAAGTTTTGCATTTCTACAGATGGCAAAATGATAGCTAGCTAAGGGAAAATTTTCCTTGTTGAATTCCGACCCTTCCAAGTTGATAAAGTGCAACTGCGAACCGCCGTATTTTTGACTGGCAACTCTTTGTACGTTCTCAAACGAACCTTGCAGCGAAGAACATCTATTGCTTGTCCCAATTTTTTCTTCATAATGAACATGGGTATGGTTCCCATAGGTGCTGCCTTCAGGCCAGTCAATCTAAATACAATACTCAAAAACAAGGAGCAGACTAGTCTCAGTAAGCAACTTACCCGATTACAAGTCCATTTCTGTCGACGGTTGTCCTTGTTACTTTGTTTCTTCTTGTAAGAACCTATTTCAAGGGGCTCAGTTGGTTGCGTGGCGTCCTTATTAAGAGCGACAGTACCGGTAGCCTGAGTGGCGTTGAGCTGCGAATATTCGTTCCAGTGACTCATTGTTTTTTAAACCACAATCTCTTAAACGATAGTTTCTGGGGTCAAATAAGTGCGGCATGATACACTTCAATTATTCATCTTTTCAAAACACATATGGCAAAACTGTTCAAACTTGAACCGTTGCAGTATTTCCTTCAATGAGAATACAATACTTAAAAAAACTCTTTCAAGTGAATAAATTGGTAGCAAGTTGGTTAAAACTCCCACACTTGCGCGCGCACACACACACACACACTCTAACCCAATCTTCGATGATAAGAAAAGAATAAAATAATTGTGCAGAGGCTTTCGGCTCTTTCCTTCAATGAGCTTCTGGAGGGTGCGTAGGGACTTTTATTCCTCATCAGATTCTTTTCACTTAAGCAATTCCGTATAGATAGAACAAGATACTCTAGTGTTATCATTCTGACAAAAAGGACAGAAATTCCAACAAATCAGAATACTTCCACTTTTCTAAATAAAAGATTTTGGCTGGAGAGTTTTCCATAGGTGTCTCAAAGAAAGAAATTTTGAACTGACCTGGAGTATCCAAACTAGTAAAAGCTCTTAAAAAAGGTCTACCCAAAGTCTGCGTTGTCCGAACTCGAAAGTTCGAAAATGAACCAACCCGATCGGAGTCCAGAAACTCTTTCAGCTGGAGACACTCGTCAGAAGATGCAAAAGATGCTGGAAAACAACCTCCTTACAGCGTCATATTCGGAAACTAGAAACTGCTTGGGCGGGGTCACCAATTCTATTTTGACAAAGTGCCAGTTTCTATCGTCTTCACTTCCCAGCTCTTTTGAACAACATTCTTGTTACACGTGTCTAGTGAGACGTTGAAAATAAAAAAAGAGGTAGACCATCTTACGCTGACAATCCTCTGCTATCTGTGCAAGTTGTATGGCAGAACAAAGTTCACAGGGAAGTATTTCAGTTTCGAATCCTTTCATAGAACAACTGTTTCCTGCTACGGAAACAAAAAGAAGAAATATGAAATGGAACCAAAATATAGTTGTAGCAAGAGTCAAGTTATTGCGTGCAACTCCCATTCCAAACAAGTCTACTGCAGCAGACGAGAGAGTGAAGTTGTGAAAAGCATTCACTCAGTCGATTTCTTCCAATGGAATGAATTGGAACAGCTAAGCTTTGTCATGTTCAGTTGACTCATGAAGTACCATTTTCCTCAAGTGCTTGCGCCATTCTTCACAAAACAAAGAAAAATCATCTCTAAAACTCATTTTGTTTATTTCTCTATCACTGTCTCATAGTCGCAATATCGACTTGAGGATCTCTCATTAGTCTCCTCGACTGACCACTACCTATAGCAAACCTATTCGCAAAGTCTTTCAACTTAAGATAACGTGCATCTCCAAATAATATACTAGAAACAGATTCTTGTCTTATCAAAGTGCTGGCAAGTCTTTGCTGCAACAAAGAGTCAATGAAAACTTGCTATAAAATACAAGCTTTCTCACCTTGGCGTCCAACAGAGGTTTGTTGTCTACCACATCATTCACAATAATATCCACTACTCCTGCGGTTGAAGCTATTTTACGTAAGCCCCAATCCTTTTCTGCTATAGCTTCAAGTACGATAAACACAGCAATGGACTGAGAAAGAAATGGTTGATGTGCCAAGGAAAATAAAGTTTCCAATAAAGGACCCTATGCAAATAAAAGTACTGCGTTGAACTGTAAAAGGTTGTATTACCTTGCGGTACATTTCAAATAGTTGCTTTGAACTAGTCTCATCCGAACTATTCAATAAAGACGCTATACAATATAAACAAGCTGTACGAATTCGTTCCTCTGGAGTATCCAAACCAGCCAAAACCGAAATAAATAATTCCTTGTTCCAAACCATTTCCAATCCTTTACGAGTGCTGGCGATGGCACTAAGTGCATAGTATGCTGATTCGCGTTTGTCAAGATCCTCTCTATTATCAATTAACTGGCCTAGCAAAGGCAAAAAGGGTTTAATTAGCACCAGTTGTTCCACCTTCTCCAAACTAGCGACTCGAGCAATCCACTTGAGGATAGCACTTTGAAGTAATCGAAGCTGCAGATTATCCATATGTGCGCAGTCACCCGATAAAAACGAATATAACGTTGAAAGAACTCCACTATTTGTCACATACGAAGATGCATTTTCTACAGAGACAAAAGTCGCTAATAATTCCAAGATATTTAGTTGGAAGAGCACATCCGAAGAAGACTGTAGTTGTTCCACCAGAATAGAACATACACTAACTGCCAGCGTAGGATTCGAGAATTGTACTAGCCAATCAATCAGCAACTGTAAAGCTCGAGTTCTAGTAGTTGTATTCACTCCATTCCCTCCCCTGGCACAAAGTTCCAACTTGGAAGCAACATATTCACAGGTGACTTGGGAAGCCATCCTAAAGACACAAAGAATTGCACTTTTCAACTGTTTCAATAATTCGAGGTCCTCATCTCGAATAAGCTCCAACATTCTATCGATAATTTTCTGTTCCTTGAGAGTTTCAATACTGACAGGATTCCATAACGCCAACTTTTCCACAGCCATGCAGCATACTTTCTGTGTCTCATACTGCTCCGATAGGAGGCCTTGTCTTATCAAATAAATACCTTCCTTCGAGTTTAACTGTTGTAGTGTAACTGGATAACCTAACACTTGCTTCCAGGCACTGCTCAAAATGAGGACGTTCTCTTGTCTCTGATTCTGGTCTTCCACAAACAATAATTCACCCAACCTTTGAAGTGTTAACTGTTGAAAAAGTTTTTCACAACTAATCTGTGTATTGGGTTCCTGAAGGTACTCTTTGACAAGCTCAATGTCTTCCTCAATAGGACTTGCCCTCATCATTCTCCCAAAAATAACAAAAACATTTATTCAACTGTTTGTGATGACGCAGTAAAAACTATTGAAACTTCAATCGATCCAGCATATTTAGGGTTCAAAGCAAATACTCCTTGTAGAACAGGCGTATCCATGCAGTTAGCCAAGGGAAAGGTAACTTTGCCAATTGGTTCGTGTTGGGAAAGACTATTCACAGAGACTAGATGTATAGTCAATTCTTGCCTTAGAATGTTAACGCAATAGAGCTCAAAGGTTTCATTCCAATAGGGATTCTCACGATCTTCTCCTTGGAAAGGAGCTGTTTCGAATATTTGGTCTTCTAGTTGCAATAATATCATTGGAAAACCAAGTAGATGACAAGAAGAAGAACGAGACTTGTTTCCAAAAGATAGTCCAAAACCTCGAATAATGGTTACTTGCAAAACACCGCCAAAGTTACTTGCAACGAGACTTAGATGTTGGTCATGATCGTACAAAAGTGGAGCATTCATTGACTTTCTCATAGGATGTTGTTTGTCTTCCTCCTCTCTATATTCAGAAGAACTGAAATGCATTCTAAGAGGATCAAAAATGGAAGTTTCACAACTATTGGTTATTCTTTGGCTGCTTGTTCCTGGTGAAGATTCTTCGAATGGGGCCTTATTCGAAGCCGTTCTTAACGACGCCAACGCGGCAAGTGCTATTTCATTCAGTTTTCTTTTCGTTGTTTGAAAACCAATAGTCATTGAAGACTCATTTTTCTTATCGGAGACTTTATCCAGCAAAGAATTGACTGACACCTTACTTTCAGATGTAACAACAGATGAGGAATCGTTGGTCTTCTTCGCTTCTAAAGAGCCAAGTTCAAAGAGACTGCGACTTTTCTTTACGGGTGGTGAATGGGAAGGAGATGCAAATCCTGGATTGGCTGGAATAGTTCCATTAAGCCACCTATAAGAAAACATTTTAATCAATGAGAATGGAAGAGCTTATCCAATCCTACCCGGCAACCCAAGGATTGGTTCGTTGTGTTTCTCCACTTTGTGAGTAATAATCGTGTTCAAACTGAAATGCAGTCACATTCGAAGAACTTTGTTGTAGAGGAGGTTGATTTCTGCTTTCCATTGGGCTTTTCTGTCCTTTCCAAGCTCCTCTCCAGTTGTAAGATTTATCTTTTCCACCATCAAAAGGAATATAAAAGGCTTCGATAAATAACGAACCACTAGCGGCATCATCTAAAGAATACCAGTTCGAAATAGTTTCTCCACCAACCAAACCTTTCAAAGGCAATTCCAATAAACCCAACAAGTCTTCCTTTTCTCCTTTTCCTGTTGGAGCATTTAATACATAAATAAAAACATTCTGAACCAATGGATCCTTATTCAGCTGGAGTCAAATTTAACCAAAGAATATAAGAAACAAAGTTACTTGTACAAAGAATTCAAATGACTGAGACCATACAGGATGAAGACTTCCATGAACGACTCTAGTCCTTTTCTTTTGTGTACCCAAATAAAGTACAACGAATGCATTGACTGTTCCTCCAAATACCGGTGGATGTAAATCTCTTGCTTCCTTAATTTTGACTCTAACCATGCCAACCATCACATCCTTTAGATCCTTTCCCTGTTGACTAGCTTGATACCAAGATTCAATAGGAAAGGATACCTTTTACCCATAAGTCATCATAAAGAATAACAAATGAAACTTACTTTTCGTGGATATACTGCCCAATCTTGAATGGTATCAGTTAAATGTCTTCGAATCCAATCCGATAAAACAGGAATATCCCTAAACAATGACATTACTTTATCATAATGAGTCGATACAACTCACATCATATCAAGTGTCTTGAGTGGAACCAACTTCAAGTCAATCCAAGGCTTCCTTATAAATGAAAAATGTACGACACTAAAATAAGGAGCTCTATCAACCAATTGTACATGTACCAAAGCCTAAACATTCCATTCCATAAAAGCGATATTAATAAGTAACAACAAAACGAACTTTTGCAGCAAATGCAAAATCAGAAAGCAAAATAGGGATTTGAACTCCAAATATTTGACGACTAAAATTGATGACAAGAATAACAAATGCTGTTCCTGTATAATGCAAGTCGAATTCTAACTGCATTTCATAAGAGGACTTGATTCGGTTCACTCTTACACGAGAACATTCAGGTGCCTAAGATATTGCTTGACACTTTTCCCGATAGAAATAGAAAGAAACGAACCTTTGTTCCCAACTTGAGTTCAGGTATTTGAAACACTTCTACAAATTTTGGGCGTGTTAGGTTGAGTCGACTGGCAATTCTTTCTCTCAACCATCTACTCAAGCCTACATTTTCAGTGACCCATAACTTTTTAACCAGAACGTTGAACCATTCACAGGATTCTTCTCTCCATATGTTCACTCCTGGTACCCACTGATGTTCCGTAGTAGACGGTAGTTCTGTACAAGTGTCTTCTTGAGCAACAGATTCCCTTCTAGACAACTCTATTCGGTCACGTAACTCACGACGGACTTGTCTCTCTCTATCAAATAAATAAACAGCGTATGCTAATAAAACAATATATATAACAGGAAACTGTGACTTTCCCAAGATGTACGCCAATAATAACAATAAACAGTGCACTTTGTAACGTTGCAAAGGAAACCAAACAACTAAAAACGTTCGAACCCTATCTATCCACCTCCAGTCTTGTAAGTAACGCATATTGCATTATATTGAGTTAAAAGATGAAAAGCTTTCTAAAACAACTTGTCGACTATTTCGATCTTTCCTCAAAAAATAAAAGATGAATGAATTGTTGTGGATCTTTCTGCCACTCATAAGAGACAAACTCTAAAGTTGTGCCTTTTTTGTATAATCCTATTCAGTAATCAATGTTGGAAAGAGAATCGTTTATATTCTGTTTTGTATACTGATAACCGTCACTCCCAAAACCCTCTTGTGGATTGGCAACTGTAGCAACTGAGACTATCGTTCTTCCAATAACTATCGAACTTTGGATAAATACCTTTCCTTGGCTATTCTTTCAAGTAGATTAGGTGACATTTCTTCAAAACTATCGAATACAATATCTGCAAAAGGTTCCAACACTTCACGAGGTAAACTTGTAGCTATTCCTATAGCACAAGCACCAGCCTAATTCCAATAATTATCTTAAAATACGTTTGAGGAAGCACAACGACTTACATTTTTGGCAGCTAAAAGTCCTGCACAAGCATCTTCGATAACTACCGACTGTTCAGGAGGACAATTTATACGCTTCAACACTTCCAAATACACATCGGGAGCAGGCTTTCCTTTGGCAACTTGGGTAGAACTCACTATATATTCCTTTTTGAAATAAGAAAGGATACCTGCCTATCAAAGCAAATATCATAATCACAGCCAATAAATAGACTATTAACCATACTTCTCTCAGATTGAATTCAATCTTTTCCGGTGTTCCAGAAGAGCCAACACCCAAATGAATATTACTCACGGACGCTTCTTGAAGAAGAGCTTTTAACCCAGGGAAAGTTGATAACTTTCCTCTCGCTAGTTCTTGATAGATTGCATCCTTATGTTCGTCCACCTTTCTAGAGACCCAGTCTATATTTGTGTCTGCAGGTAAGAAGCCTTTCTTTACGTAGTGTTCTACGGAAGAATAAACGGATAAACCAAAGACCTCATAAAAGTCTTCAGGAAACTGATGAGGAATATCAACGCCTGTAGCTTTGAGAATTGCTTGCCGAAGAGATTCACAAGACCAAGGTTCCGAGTTGACAAGCACACCTAAATAAAGAATAAGTTCATTTTTCAAAACACTTGGTGAAGCAACAGTTCTTACCATCGCAGTCAAATACGATACAAAATGAACATTGAGTCATCTCCAAATTGTGTTGGAAATGGAACGAGAATGCTTTGGTGTCGTTACTTTGCAGTAAGAGCAGGCGGTGTTGGAGGTAAATATCAAACTATAGTTGTTCAGATTCTGACCATTGTAACATAAAGGCGTTTGGAAAGTTTCTAATGCAGTGAATCCTTCTCGACTGGAACGCTTAGAAAAGAATGAAAGAATGAGGAGGGCAGGCTGGGAACTTTATGACTCCAAATTGCCCAAGGTTAGTTGTAAACTATCAAGTTCAGATTCAATTGTCTATTGTCAAGTGTAGGAACTTCGTGCACAATTATTACCAAACTCTGACAAGGAAGTACGAAGCTTTGTGGAAATGCGGATACGAGAAATGATTTTGAATGGTATCCTTTCTTGTTCGTTGCTTATAACTTAAGTGGTATTTGGGTGATTAGGAGACTTTGAAAATCTAAAAGGAAAAGGGAAACCGTTTAACTATTCTGATTCCGCAGTGCGGGATGGGTAAGGCAGCATTCTTACGCAAGAACCTTTGAGATTTATTGAATTCGTAGTACCTTTGATCTTGCCATGAAGATGCTAAAGAATAACGATCTAAAACCTCCTTGGTAAGAGAACAGAAAGATATATTCGATGAAAGTGGTTGATGCTGTTTTCAGGATTGAGTTGATGCAAGAAATAGACAAAGAAAAGAAAGCTATTCGACAGTTTCTTAGGCTTCAGTGGCTAAACTATTTGGTTGTTTCGGGAAATTGTCTTGACCAAGATGTATCTCCTATTGATGCTGGAATATGGTGCAAGCAAGAAGAAGAGTATTTGAAGCAGCAAATTGCGCAATTGAATCGCAAAATAGATGACTTCAACTTGCAAAAACCGGAGAGGATGGACTTTATATTTAGGCTTCGTCTTCGTTGGATAGAAGAAGTGAAACGAGCTCAACAGCCTTTGAGTCAACAAGAAAGTGAATGGGTCAAGTCAAAGCAAATGGAGAATTTAGCTAAGCGTTCTTTCAATGAAAAGCCAAAGGAAGTCTTTCAAGTTTCAAGTGGCAACGAAAGACGTGCATCTCTATCTCAGTTTCGTCGTCTAGTTGCTTTATTTTGGTGAATGGTTTTCATCGTTACATGGAAGCAAATACTCAAGGCATTCTTGATAAACAGTGAATAAGGGTATTCATTAAACTGTGATATGACTTTAATGAAAGTTTTCTTGTTTGTTTAGAATATGTAATTTGGAAATTGTGCACATCATGGCACGTATCTTCTGTATATCTCATTGTGTTGGATAAAAATATTTAGTATTCTAACGATACGTACAATGAGAAAAATAATTGACATGACTCGTTTGTTTTGCAGTCTTTAATGAAAAGGAGTATTAACATTATATCGTCTCAAACGACTGTCGAAGAAAGCAATTCTGTATTTTCTTTGATATAGTAAGATGCTTGATCAGCAAGTTGCATACCAAATGACACACAATCTCCAAAAGAAATTCCGCTGACATAATTACCACCCAAAAACACACCTGGAAGAGTTTCACTGACTTGACTTTGAATAGTTTCCATTCGAGAGAGATGACCTAGTTCATATTGCGGAATGGCCTTGTTCCAATGACGTACTCCCAAAACCTTTGGAAGAGCTGCATCTTGCCTTAAAAGTATTTTCCTTATATCAGAATCAACTTGTTTCACAACTTGGTCTTCAGATAGCGAAGCAATATCCGTATCCTGAGCACCTCCAATGTAAGAGGATAAAAGATGATAACCTTCAGGTACTCGATATGGAAATAGACTACTCGACCAAATGGTACCCAAAGTACGAATTTTTGTACTTCTTGGAATCAAATGACCAAAACCAGATAAAGGAAATCGAAAAGATGAAGAGGGATACGCTAAGGATACTGATACTACACAAGGATAATAGATTTGCTCCAACAGATCTGATGCATTGGGAATGAAAGGTCTCAAAAGAGATGCAGTGATATAAGCAGGACTAGTAAATATCAATGCCTTCGTACGTATTACTTTGGTGATTCCATTGGGTATTTGAAACACTGCAAAGTAATCCTCACATGACTGATGACTGCTTCCATTTCCGCTCTTCTCCAGTCTTATCAACTTCCATCCAGTCTTCACTTTGTTCGAAAGCTTCGACTGTACTGATTGGGGGTACATTTGTAAGCCATCTTTGAATGAACCAAGAGAGCCTCTTGGAACCTTGAGAGAACCTTTTGTTTCTTTCTTTCCTTTACTGTTCTTTGTTTCAAACATTCGAATAATAGCACCTTCAATAAGGCTTTGGGTAACACCTTTTTCTTCCAAGGCTTGAACTCGTTTGAATGCTGCTTTCATACTCAGCTTGGAAGGATCACCAGCATATACTCCACTAATAAAAGGATCCACAAGCCGTTCATATACCTCTTCCCCCAAATGTCTCGTTACAAAATCTCTTACGGTTTCCTCTTTCTTTTTGAGATTCATTGGAGCAAAGCCAATAGCTCCTAGAAAGGCACGCAATTTTCCTCTTGTCGACAACAGAGAAAATTGGCAGGCTTCAAAAGGACTTGAAGGAATCTTATGAAGTTTATCCTGGTAGAACACATATCGTGGCAGCTTTGCATCAGCTAAGACCAGTTTGTCTACCAAACCTAACTTTTCGATCATAACAAGAATATCTGGAGTAGGTTGGAATGTATTTGGACCTTCTTCCCAAATGAAACCTTGCTCCTTTCTAGAAATGATATTTCCTCCGACTTGTTCATTTTTCTCAGCTACTAAGACATCAATGCCACTTTCGGCCAATTGAAAAGCAGCAGTACTTCCTGTGACGCCAGAACCAATAATCAATACACTACATTCGCCATCTTCCGTGTGCTGAGCTGAAACAGCTTTCCATGTTTGACGAAAAGGCAACTTAGAAACGTGGCTAGTTGTTCTCTGCTGTTCGACCACTTTACGTCTCTTTATATACAACTCATTGCCGTAAAACCAACTATTTCTATTTTTGCAGGTATAGTGCTTACACGAAAAAGTGTTTTTAGGTCTCACATACTGAGCTGCTTTGATAACCGCGTTTGGACAAAAACACAAGAATCCACTGCTCATTTCCTCAATACACTCTCCCAACAATCTCGATATCCTTGTAAGCCTCTTATTTATGAAAGGTTTTCGTACAATGATAAATAGTAGAATGCAAAAATATCGAAAAGTTCTATAATGAATATATTTGTTTCCAAGTTTCTCCTTTTAGAGCTGTTCTGTGACCACAAAAATTCTAAGACTTGTTTCCATTGAAAAGAAACAAGTCCACATAAATGTTGTTAAGAATATCTATCCAAATGGAGGATACTATAAAGTTAGATATAAGGTACTGACTATAGTGAAGATTGCCAGCCTAATTCGAGAATGCTAAGATACATTTGAACAAACACTGAGTTCAAACAAGGATTGTTTTCCACCTTATCTTTTTCCATCCGTGACAAAATGTGCAAACTTTATTCTTTCAAACCACAGCAACTTGCAATTGAAAATGTCAATATTTTCTGAAAATGCAAATTTGAAGAGAAGGCGGCTTTTGGAGACACTTCCAAAATAATATTTCCTGTATTATGAAGTTATCCAAAGTCATAGGCAATTCATTAGCGTTCAAAGGAATCACCCGATAGAAGTTGTCATATATGACGTTATATTATGGTCCTTGTATTTGCTTCAAGGAATTTAATTATTGTTTACAATGCAGGTAATTCTTCTTCGTCAGTTTTTGTCGCTGTGCCTTTTTGTAATAGAATATAAATACATTCGAATGGGTTGAAGAGAATTGGATAGTGAATTTTTCTAGAACCAGGTCAACTATATGTTGTTGTGAAAACCAAGATAACAGAAATCCTAGGTAAGTAGTCTAGTCATCAAAGTATGTGTCCAGATGATTATGGGTCGTTGCTACTCCTTGATCAATCATGAGGAAAACTACACCGCCGTTGAAAGGCATATGATGGACACCATTCTTTAGATAATTATCTTTTGCTGATTGTTGATCGGTTGTTTCTTTTTCTGAAACCTTTTTTATAGGAAACTACTCAACAACTTGTTCTTAGACCAAGTTTTGTTTTCTGGTTCTAAAGTTTTGTGTCTGTATCCCAACAGAAGGATAATATTTGATAAAAGTTGTGGTTCCTTTTTGAGGAACACCCTTTATTATACTTTGAGCAAGCAGAAAGACGATTGGCTTCTTTTGTTGATTACATCATAAAAAGTGAGGTAATTCATTATGTACGAACTCTTGTATACTGCAGCTCTTTGGAATACCACAATTCTGGTGCAAGGCTATCGTTTCTTTTGGGACTTTGGATTCAAAAGACCTTAAATAACCAAGATTCCCTGGTGTGGCTGTTAGGTTCAGTAGAGGTTCTCTGCTGTAAATATGAAGACTGAAAATTGAAGTGTATTCAAAAAAATCATAAGATTTATGGCCTGCTCAGTTTAGACTTGCTATCACAACATATGGCCAGTCTTATCACAGAAATAAACTACCCTTTCCATTCTTCAAATTGTTTCTGAGCTTTTTCGTCCATAAGATCGGGATAGCGAGAAAGCAGTTCACGTACTTCCCAGGATCCCGGAATATTTCTCAGATTATCCATAAAGTACTGTATGATAGCTGCATCCAAAGGATTTTGAATGTTGCGTATGTCATTCAATACGAGACAAACTCCTTCGATACATAACTTTCTTGTGCAAAAGGTTAGAACAGAGTAAGCAAGCTTCAAATCAGGAGTAATGTTTTCATCTTTCATTTGTCCATACCAGTACATCACCGTATCTGGATTCTCACCAGAAGCTATCTGACCCTGCACAAATGCTTAAGAAAACATAGAAACTCACAATTTTACATACTACCTTGATAATTGTAGAATAAGTTTTAACATCTGGCTTCAAACCCAATTCCTTGAGCTGTGCAAATAGTTCCAATACCCGAGAAAACTTCTTGTCCTCACAATATCCATTCATGAGTGTATTGAAGCCAACTATAGAAGTTCAATGTATTTCCATATTGTTTCATCAGATGAAGAAATGTAATTACCTAACTGTGGACCAAATTTTGAAGTCTGTTGTTTAAATGCTGCTTCTGCAAGATCGTGACGTCGCATATAACCATATGCCTTTATCAAAGTATTGTATGTAACTCTATCTGGTTCTATTCCATCAGATTCCATTAAATACAAGATTTCCTCCACTTCACGTCTACTTCTTCGTCTGCCAAAAAAATCTAGAAAAATATTGAATGTTATAACTGGTACACGAAAACCTTTGCTGTGTAACTCTTTAAATAACGTCCAACCCCTTATATCCGACCTTTCTCGTACTAATTTTCTAATAAGCCAATCGAAACTGCTTTGAAATGGAATAAATTGGTTTGAAAGAGAACTTTTGGCCAAAAAGTCATATACAGTTGCCACAGCCTCTTCAACAAGATTCGCACCTACAAGACAATAAACATAACAGCTGTACATAACAAAGTCCTTTTCTATTCCAGTTTGTGAACAATATTTCCATATATACTGAACCCCGGCTAAGTTCCGTTGTCGGATAAAGAATCGTACAATTTCTCGAAAAGTAAAAGATGTCGCCTGGCCACGCTTTGTCAATTCTTCCGCAACTTTCAGAGCAAAGACCACATCCCCTTCACGACAACAAAGCTGCACCAATAAATTTAACAGTACGGCACTCGCTATGTGGCTCTTGTCCAACGAGAGGGAGTATGCAGCGGCTGATTGAAGACCATACATCTCATAGAGGTTTAACACCTTTTTTCTGTTTTGCTCAGTAATGTCAGCAAAGTCTGTAGACGTCCTGGACCCATTTGTAGACTTGTTACAAAACACCTCGCATCTTCGACAGATCCAAGGACGAGACCAAGACACGTGTTTGGTAAAACAAGCTACAAACGATTTTGAGTTGATAGCGAAAATATAAAGAAAAAAGGTACCTTTGTGTTTCAAACGCTCTGAAATGTTTGTAGAAGAGCGGTACGGTGACGAGAAAAGAAAACCTGTTCTGGATACACTGCACAGCATGAGATTTGCAAGAATCCAAATTATCTCGCTTCTTGAAAGATAGCTTCAGGATGCGTTCCAATTTCTTTCGTCATTGTTTTTCTCTTCATTCCAAGTGCTCTGTTTTAAGTAGAGCCTTTTTAACGAGTTCTAATATGTCGTGTTCAGAGATTACGATATCAGCATTTCTTCTCCAGCGCGTACAGTTATCTGGTGAAATATATGAATACGACATGTAGTTCCTATCCAATTTGGTTATGATCTTACTAGCGACCAAAGGCCTCCAGTTCCAGTATAACAAACCACTCAGTTCGGCCAAAGTTCCAAAATATGGTTCTCCACAGCAGCCAAAGTTGGAGATTTCTATAACTGCACTTCCCTGTCTCATATATATAACGTTTGTGAGTCCAGCTCCGTGAGCAGCTATGAATACTCTAGTGGTCTTCATTATCATAACCTACAGTATCTGATAACAAGTCTCTTTTAAAAGTTGGAAGAGTATACTACCTGATACCAAAAGGATGTATCTTCAAAACTAACCATCCTCGTATTTACTCCAAAAAAATCTCTTATTGCAGTAGCAAGTGACTCAATATTGATGATTCGCCTTGTTTGTTTCCTCTGTAACAAGGTAACTGGAAATCTTTGCTGGAACCTTAGTCTCCAAACAAATGGAATATGACTATGAACTGTTTTACGTAGCATTGAAATTACTTTGATGTTATAGACCCAAAGAACATCGTGACCAAGACGAGGAACATGTCTTACATTGTAAACAATTTGATCGAAACAAACCAATCTATTCTTTGTATTCATTGAGGAGTTAATTGGGGACAGTAGGAATACATCCAGTATATCTTCCTTAAATAGGAACTGCATTCGACCATGAGTCCATTGTTCCAGTAATATTTTGCTGATCGCAAGTGTGTTTCTAAAGTATGGATTCTTGCCCATGATACAATTTCTCATGGAGATTTCAGGTAATATGAAGTGGAATTCCAAGTCATTGTGTGACTTTGCTATTTTTGATTGATAAGCAACGGATAACAGCGCAAGCAGATCCTCAATGAAATGGGGAATATGACACCAGAATCTTCCAATGAATGTCAGTCCTGAAAGATGTGTCAAATATTCGTTACTAATATTGGAAATTCTCTTTGCTGCGTTGTTGCTTTTGTTGAAACAGTAAAGATAATCATTACCTCCGGTAATGTTTGCAGGTTGGGTTGAAATAAGAACATCCGAAAAAGAAGCGAGACTTGGTCTGAATAACTTCCTCATCTGCTCTGATAATATACTTATGCCATACTCTTCCGATGCATCTACCACTTCGAAAGCACCAACATGTTTTGCGAGCAACAATGCCCATCTTCTTGTATTGACAACTGCGCAGACAGAGTTGAATCGAATTAATTTTTCTGTCCAGTTCTTTTGGATTTTTCCAAAGAGTTGTTGAGCTTGTGCAGAATTTAGATGTATCTGACTTGCCATTACAGTGCCTGGAATTTGTAAGCTACTGTAGCCATCGCATTTCTTTATTATTGAATTGTTTTCCGTTGAAAGGAAGCTTTGTTCCTGGTTAATTATATGAGAATACAAGTATATTGACAGAAAGTTCAAGAATACAACTGCCAAAATTCCTTTGACAACCTTTTCCTTATTCCAGTATATTAATAGTCTTAATTTTGGCCTTTTACAGAACAAAATAAAGCTTTTTCCATTGCCCATGAATAGAGCATTCCTTTGCAAGACTTCAGATAGCTTCACTGAATCCTTTTTAAAATGCACAAAAATATAAAATATACCAAATGCGCCAAATTCGAATGTCATTTTTTATCTCAAACTTTGGCCATTTCATAAAAAAAATTATCCAATTATCTGCAGCCTATGAAAGACAAGTTTTCATCAAACAAATGTTCTCAGCTTGGACAATGAGTCAACTCTCATCTCACGACAATTAGAAAAGTTCAAAAACAATTTGGCAGTAATGAAAATATTTGAATTCCTCATTTGGATCAAACAGACAGATATGCCCTCAGGAAACAAAGTTCAAAACTGACTTTATTACATGAAATCTTCGTAGTCGTCTTCTAATGAAGCCAGGTCATCTTCTGCATCCACTTTTACAACTGCCTTCTTCTTTTGTTTGCCCTTTTTCTTCTCCTGATTCGCTTTCAGTTTTTCATTGGCAAGGACATTTACATGAGTTGCCAGATCCCTGCGGTCAAATGAGTTCTTCATGAGAAGAATAGGAAAAATTACATACTTGATATCCTCCACCTTCATTTCACCCGTCACATTCTTCAAAAGCGCTTTGTAAAAATTCAATACTGTGGCTCCTCTTCGATTGTTCTGTTGCTACAAATAAGTCTCTTCAAGAAATAACTAACCGAAACTTACGGTAACTTCTATGAGTTTCCTACTAATAAGCGTACAGAACCTCTCGAGATCTGCATCCGTTTCCGGTCTGAAAGCGTCCAGACTCTCGTCGACGCCTCCATTTCCAAATAATTCTTTTGCGTTCTGAAAGTCTGCTTCCCTCTCAAGGGCTTCTAAAAATTTCTTTCTCTCTGCCTCACTCATACCCATCAACTCGTCTTCATTCTCAGCCTTTCCGGCGAGTCCACGCTTCTTTGTACTTTCTCGTAACTCTCGCTCTTGGATTTTCGAGGCAAGTTGGACTTTCTGACCCTTCTTTTGTTGTTTCTTCTGAACCTCCGCTATGGCAGCTTGCTTTTCTGATTCCTTTTTCGTATGGACCTATTCAAGACAGTCTTAACGCTGAAGCTAAAAGACAACGAAACCCGACGTACAAGAAGCTCCTTGGCTTCTTCAAGTTCCACGTTCCAACTCCAGTCTGAAGTCTTTCGGTCACTGGGAATTTTAACTTCCACCTCTTCCAAGTCCTCTAGAGAGAAAAAATGAAATTATCCGGAAGCTATGTTGTCGGAGTTAACCTTACCCCAGCTGTCTGCCATGCTCTCCCGTTTACCCTCTCAAATACATTTGACCAAAGAAACTATTTCATGTTCGAACAAGTATACATGGGCAATCATCGTGGTCCAACAAACACACAATCTCTGAGTTCTTCATGTGCAAACTGTATATCGAGTTATTTTTCATTTCGCTCATCTCCTTCAAGGTTAAAGGAGTCTTTCGAAGCCGCACCTTCTCTTAATGATTCTATATTCCTAGCTTCTAAAGACACAATGCGAATGAAATGAAAAGCGATAATGGAAAAGCCCATTGTCATTGACAATGGCACGGGGTTCATCAAGGCTGGTTTCGCTGGAGATAAGCTTCCTAGAGTTGTTAGTCCTTCCGTCATTGGTCGTCCCCTATATGGAGACTGTGTAGACTTTCGTGGTACCCATAAAAGCGTTTATGTTGGCGACGATGCCGTCCAAAAACGAGGTGCAGGTTTGAAGCTAACGTATCCTCTGGAACACGGAATAGTTTCCAACTGGGATGACTTGGAGCTTTTATGGAAAAATTGCTTGGAGAACGAGCTAAGAGTCGACCCTACTGAACATCCCATTCTTTTGACAGAGGCGCCATTGAATCCAAAGAGAAATCGAGAGGTACGGATCAACTTGTTTGTGTTGACAGAAGAATTGAGAAAAAGTATAGTTAATGGCAACCATAATGTTCGAAGGCTTCGGAGTTCCCGCTTGTTATGTTGCTGTCCAAGCGGTGCTTTCGTTGTATGCTACTGGAAGAACCACTGGTTTGGTTTTGGATATTGGCGATGGAGTGTCCCATACCATTCCTGTTTATGAAGGATACGCTTTGTCGCATGCCATATGTCGCCTGAATGTAGCTGGAAGGGATTTAACAAAATACTTAGCAAAGTTGCTGCAGCAAAACGGCTTTCCCTTTACCACCACATCAGCTATGCAAACTGTACGGGATATTAAAGAAAAGTTTTGCTATGTTTCGCAAGATCCTGTTTCAGAGGAAAAATATTTCGAGCAACACCAGAAGACTCTTTGCAAAAGTTATATCTTACCTGATGGAACGGTTAGTTGAGCATAGACTTCTGTTTATTGTAAATATTTTGTTCTAATTCCTCTTATATTTCAGGAATTGTTCATTGGAAGTGAAATGTTTCAGTGCCCAGAGATCCTGTTCAATCCTAGTTTATTAGGAATGGAGGCGGAAGGTATTGACTCACTAATTTATCTCTCAACGCAAAAGTGTGATATAGACTTGAGAAGATCTCTTTTAACTAATCTCGTGATAAGCGGTATGAATTTCTTTGAAAATCGTTTCTGAAGAGTTTAAATATTGACTTAGGAGGTACTAGTATGTTACCGGGGCTGGTTGACCGATTACGTACAAGTTTACAGAGCCGTCTTCCAGCTAATGCCAAGTTAAAAATAACCGCTCCGGAAGAGAGAAAATATTCTGTGTTCTGCGGAGGTGCGACACTGGCTGATATGCAAGCCTTTCAAAGCCTAGATGGATAACTGAGAAAGGAATGGGAAGAATCTTGAAAACAATATCATTTTTCGGAAATGTTTATAATTCATCCTGCAGATAACTTCTAAACACGGCTCATATTCAGATAGCTAGCTTTCTTTATAGAAAATCATTCATGAACATTTCAAGTCTTTTTTAAAGCAAGTTAAACAGTTGTTACGGGCTTTCTTGGCCAAACTTGGTACCAAGCCACTAAAGAAGATATCACACCGCAAAACCCAGTCAAGGTAGGACTGAGTTGTTCCTTGCGTGATATACTGATACCTACAACGATATCAAAGCCATAACGAACTATACCTACAATAGCTTCCTGTTGCTGTTTTTGCAAGGTTTGAAGCTCACGCGAAGTGTTCCCCGAGTCTCTTTTGTCACTAGACGAAGTTTCCAGCATAGTGGATCTCTCGCGTTCATATAAAAGTGACAACTGTTTCCTAACATTTCTGAATTTCCATAGAGAGTCAAGAAAGCCAGCTATCACAGCCAACAAAAAGAAGCGCTTCCCTCTTAGTTGATAAGCATTAGCATCCCTTCCGTCCAATATTGTTTTACAAAGGAGAGCATAGTTGTCAAAAGCAAAGTAAAGAAAGTTACCGAGGTCATTTAAAAGTTGCAACGTGGCTCCTATCGAATTCTGACCTTTGAGACCAAACGATGTCTGACCAATGCGTTTGCTCCAAATATTCACCCATTTGGCAAGTCTCAACACTTGTCTTGCGTTGCCAAGAATTTGTTCGAGAGCCAAAGATTTTTTGGAGAGTGAACTGCTTCCTGCATCCACACCTCTCACAAGCTTGCAGGCATATTGTAAAGTTCTATATAGCTTATCTCTACCTTCTGTCTGTGATAACAATATTTTCCAAGTTTCAGAACTATCAATGGTCATAAGTTTCATTTCAGCCATGGCACCCACAAAAGACAAAAAGTGAATCGAATTTCTCCACAACAGCCCAATGAGAATTATCTAATGGACATTTCAGGTCTACTTATCAATTTGTCATTCCGTCCCATCGTACTAAATCCTTTAACAACGTCTTGTAAAACTATTCCCCATTCTATTCTTTATTTTATACGAATAGTATTAAAACCCCTTATATTTAAGCATCTACAACAAGCTATGCAGCAACTGCAGTAGTATCAATCACCTCGTCATACTCATAGGGCATCATCTGAACCTCATTATCCGCTATTAACATTTGTAGTTCTTCGGATGTGACAGTTTCTTTTTCCATAAGAAGACTAGCCAACTGGTCTAAAACCTTTCTGTTGGCTAGCAGCAAATTTTTAGCTCTACTATATGCTTTGTTCACCAACTTGGAAACTTCCGAATCTATTATTGTCTTTGTCTCTCCACTTATTTGTGGACCACTTCCACTGAGTGCCATATCACGTCCCATAAATGGATTACCAGCAGGTCTATCAACATAAATCTGACCAACTTCTGGTGACATTCCAAACCGTGTGACCATCATTCGTGCAATGTTGGCCACTTGTTGGAGGTCATTAGCAGCACCAGTCGTCACTTCTTCTTCACCAAATACAATTTCTTCCGCAACTCGTCCACCCAAAGCTACAGCAAGTTGAGACTCTAAATAATGTCTTGAATATAAACCAGTATCAACTTGAGCTTCATTTGGAGCAAAGAATGTCAGTCCGCCTGCACCACCACGAGGAATAATAGTAATCTTTTGAACTTGATCATAATCAGGACATAATGCCCCAACAAGTGCATGACCACCTTCATGATATGCAATAAGACGCTTTCGTTGTTCCGAAATGACAGGATCCTTCTTCTCAGGACCAATAGTAATCCTATCAATAGCATCGTCAATTTCTTCATATCCTATTTGTAATTTGTCTCTTCTTGCAGCTAAAATTGCGGCTTCATTGAGAAGATTTTGTAAGGATGCTCCTGAAAAGCCAGGAGTCCTTCGGGCGACGACTTCAACGTCAACATCCGGTGCTAAAGGCTTTCCTCGCATATGGACTTTCAAAATGTCCACTCTGCCTTTAAAGTCTGGTAAATCCACAATAATACGTCGATCAAACCTTCCAGGACGTAATAATGCACGGTCTAATACATCGGAACGATTAGTTGCTGCAATAACAATGATACCATTGTTTGCTTCGAAACCGTCCATTTCTGTAAGCAATTGGTTGAGAGTTTGTTCTCTTTCATCATTTCCGCCCGCAATACCGGCTCCTCTTTGCCTACCTACTGCATCTATTTCATCAATAAAAATAATACAAGGAGCATTCTTTTTGGCTTGTGCAAATAAATCACGAACACGACTAGCGCCAACACCAACAAACATCTCAACAAACTCTGAACCTGCAATAGACAAAAAGGGTACTCCTGCTTCTCCAGCTACAGCTCTTGCAAGTAGTGTTTTTCCTGTTCCTGGTGGTCCCTCAAGAATAACTCCTCTTGGAATCTTTGCTCCTAGCTGCGTAAAACGATCTGAATCCTTCAGAAATGAAACAACCTCTTCAAGTTCCACTTTTGCTCCATCACAACCTGCAACATCGTTAAAAGTTACTCCAGTTTGGGGAACCATGGAAACACGTGCTCCTGATCTTTGAAGTTCAAACGGACCCATTCCTCCGCCACTGCCCTGAGAGAATCTTCGTGAAAGAAGAAACAAACCTCCAAATAACACACCGGGTACTATAAGTGACTTGAGAAAGTCAAAGGGGCCGCCTTCTTGTCTTTGTGGAAGTACCCTAATATCAACGTTATGTTCTGTAAGAAGTTTTAACAGGTTACTGTCATTTGGAAGAGCATCCAGTTTGTGTCGGTTTCCATCTACATCGATTGCCAGAAGTTGATTACCATCCGGAGAAAAAGTAACCTTCTCAACTTGGTCTTCCTTTACTGCGTGAATCAATTCAGAGTATCGCCATTTCTGTACTGCACCAGGAGCAAAGTGTCTACGTACTGAAGTTGAAGTTTCTTGTGGAAGTCCAGAACCTGCTGGAGCTTGCAAAATTTGCGGAGAGCTTTCTGCCACTGCTGGAGGAACAAAATTGATGTTGGTTCCCAAAACAAACATGAACAACAAGGCAAGCAAGTAAGGTTCCCACGATTGATTCTTGACAACACTATAGGGAACTATTACTTTGCTCCACTCGTGACGAAATAGGTCAGCTAGTTGAGTATTGACTGTATTAAGATCCAATTTTCCACGTTCCATATTTTCTCTTATAGCATCTTGAATAATTCTTTTCAACGAAACTACTTGGGGCTTCTTTCTTGAAAGAGAACCTAATAAAACAAAACGAGTAACACTTCTTCTCTTTTCAACACAGTTCTTGTGTTGACAACCTTCTTTAGGCACTGAGAAAATATTATTTCTCTTTAATGAAAATTTCAAACAAGTGTTAAGGTTTATACTTGAACTAAAACAGAGGTAAGACATCTCTCTCAATCAATCCACACCAACAATTCTAATAATAAATGGTATAGATGAAAGACGCACACATTTCATAACAAGTTGTATGAATATCATTTTAGTTTTGCCAAGACTCAGTCTTTCAAAAGAAATTCAAAGTAATTCATTGGTACAAGAACCTTTATAATCTTTATTCCTACTATTTGTATATAGTGGCTTCGGCATTGAAGAGTAGATATCTATGCAATTCTCTTTCTGTCTCAGTGACTTTTTGGAAACCTAACAACAACCAAAGTCAGTCAACTGTCAAGTAAGTATATATACTGGTCGACACAATAGGGCATGTTCTAAAACTTTCAGATGGTTGTGTTTTCTCAACGTCGTCAACTTGTATTGCCTCTATACAAATTGAACTCAAACGGCACTTCCTATTACTACAAAAAAACTGTAGTGACACTAACTATCATCATATCGCCCATTCCTTGCATAATCCATAAAGAACACTCATAGATATACTTACCTCAACAAACCATTTATCGACGGCGATTTCCTCCAAACATGAAATTTCACCTTATTCCATCTATTGGCAGATTGAATATATATAATCATTAGTTTCATTTGGGTAATACTTGTTACAAGGAATATTAAAACGATTCTGGTATAACAGAAACCTGGTTGATATATAATATCTTGCACAATTCTTTACTCCTACTTGGTTTAGAATACCTTCTCAAAGCGCATTTTATTAGCTTCCACAAAAAACACTTTTGCATACTATTCTTTAGCTACGTCAGTATACAATATAGATTTAGACTCCATAACTTTCTGCATATGGAGTTGAAAAAGGATAATCGCCAGCTGCAGCTGGAATAGTAAAACTGGGTAATAAGTAAGGAAGATCAGGATAAGATCCGAAACCATTGATTTGGGAATACGATCCTTTGTTGGTGGAGCTTCCAGTAGCCGTACCCTGATAAGATATTGGAGATGAACTTGCTACAGCTTCGGTAATAACTTGGGAACCACCATTACTTGACGAGTGACCAGTAACAGATGCGATATAGCCTTTTCCATTTGAGGCAGTATTGAATTCAGCAGATCCACTTCCTTGTGTGGTGACGTCACCTGTAGTTGCTCCTACAAAGTTGGAATAGTCACTAACTGATGTATCTGCAGAATTTCCATTTCCCTTAGAAACACCTTGAACAGCATCAGTGTATTTGCCAAAAGTTCCAGCTTGACCATCTGCAGTGCCTTTTCCTTTAGATGAACTTGAGGAACTTGTGTATTCATGATTATTTTCTCCTGAAGAAGAAGCAGATGCATCTCCGTTCTTTGTGGAATCGGAAATGGTTGCTGAGAATAAAGAGTTGGTGTTAGAATCACTTGCATCAAAGCTTCCAGAAGTTGCACTTCCACCAGATTTCGAAGAAGCTGAAGTTGATCCTTTTAAATCAGTATTTGAGCCTATTCCAGCAGAATATGATCCAGAAGCAGAAGCATCTCCCGACGTAGAACTCTCGGAGAAGCCAATGGGTGAAGTAGTGGCGATAACAACGATGCAAAGGAAAAGGAGAGAGAGAAGGATTTTCATATTTAAAAATTGTTATAGCAACGATGACTAAAGTATGTGATGTAAACAGATCCAGCTTTTATAGCATGGCTAGACTTAACGTTCCACGTGTAGATTCTCCATTTCGACGACAAATGGCATCTTGATTCCTAGATCCTACGATAAGAACTTTGCTGGATATATTCCACGTGTATCAAGTGTCGCTTGAAATACGAATAGACAATGCAATGTTGCTTGTTTTAGTTCCATTTGTAAGGATATGAGCGATTCTCGTGGAGCTAATGTTTTCAAGAATCTCGGAGGGTTGATGGATGATTGTGTGGTGGAGAATTGCTTATAATCCTTCGGAAAGCCCAACGAGATATACTCTCATAACATCCACCTACTGATTGTACTATAATCAAGCATTTGAAGATATCCCTAACTAGTCTTCTTTATAATTTATATATGTATATATTGATAGTAAATAATCTCTTATGATCAACGAAGTCCCTACTCATATAGCTTATCTATGTATGAACCGAAAACTGGACAACTGGATCTCTCGTTTTACGTTGAAATTGGACTACTTCTGATGGCTGAACTATTCTTTGATGAGCTAAATTCTTTGCAAATTTTCTCTTCAGTCGTCTTCTTTCTCTTCGTAATTCTTTTTTCTGTTGACGACTTTGAAACAACATTGAGAGTTCTCTTTCTTTCTCATTTTTCATTTGTTGCACATTGTCGACCTTGGAACCGACCTCTTCTGCAACTCTTAACAACATGTCCTAGTTGAAGATATAAATTCCCACCATATCAAACTCACAAGTTAACCTCAACTACCTTTGTTGGCTTCGGCTGTGATACTTTCTGAGGAATATCATCATCACATTTCAATTGTCTCGAAGAAACAGACTTTCGGCTAGTTTTCCTAAACCTTTATCCATATTCAATACAACACGATGATCCTACCAAACTCAAAACTTCTTCATAAAATACCTATTTACAATTTGCTTCAACTCCCAAAGTGACAAGTTTCCTCTTAGATAACTGAAAAAGCTAGAACGAAACGAAAGCAATATTCTTCTTCTTCTATATGCACTTGGAATATCTCTCATCAACCTTTGACAAAATTGTTTGTAAACTGAACGAAACAAGGGCAACTTCTCCATAAGGAAAGGAGTTTGTTCTTCTTTTTGGATTTCGCTGGACTCTTCTCTCCCTTTGCAAATCTGCTTCTCTTCAGCAAGGTCATCGGCTATATTACGTGAGGGTGAGCTTTCTTCTTCCTTATGAGCAAAAGGTACATTCACCAAAATATATCCCTTGTCTGTGGAAAATGCATTGGCTCTATACGGATTGACTTTACACTCTTCTGGAAACTTGACATCAAGTTGATATTTTCTAGAAAAACGAAAAGTGTTTAGAGAAATATGCGTGGGTTCTACTTGCAAGTCAATAAGATGGAAAGGAACTTTAGGGAGACAGACGCGAAGTGTCACAAGTTGCTTTTTGTGTGAAACAAACCATTTGTGTGATGGCGTTCTAATCATAAAGCTGAAATATTGATTTCTGATGATTCCTTTACATTCTATTTTCATATTGTATTGGGTTTCAAAAGAGACTCAATCCATTTTCTCAACAATTCTTCTTCGAGAACAGTATCTTGAACAACTTGGACAGTCTGGCGAACAAGCATTTCTCGAATGCAATATATCATTCTTCTTCGGAGTATTTGTCAAAGCTAAAGTATGGAAATGTTCACTTATTTGTATCTCATAGAGAGGTTTTGAATCGTCTCGAATTTTCGTTAAAGTTTCCATTGGGCACTCGAATATTTTTCCAACTCTAAACGTAGAATCCGAATCACTTGGAAGTTCATCAGAGTCTGTGGAAGAAACTTCAACTACATCTATTTCACTACCTAATAAACTATACATGGTATCCCATTTTTCTTCTGTTTGGTTATCTTTGTGCTTCTCCACTCTAACAGTGTCTTGAAGAGACTTTTGTGGAGGAAATCTTTGTTTCCTTTTCGACTCATTCAAGCAACCCATCTCTTCAAAAGGTAAAATATTGGTCTGAACATTCAAAGGCAAATGACTTGTTTTGAATAACAACTCTGAACAATCAGCGATTGCTTCTTCTAGAAATGTCACCATCAAAGTATGATTGGACCAATGAGGAGAACGAACTAAATCAATCAGTATTTTTACCTTTCCTGAAATACCTGAAGAATACTTGCTCGACTTTCGTGAGTCCTGTTTGTTTGTCTCGTTGGTGTTTTTAGAATGAAGAGAACTATCATTATTCACTGGTTTGAGTGCTCTTGTTTTGGTTGGATGTTGCCAAGCCCATTCAAACTGTAGAGCTTCAGTCTTAGTCTCAAATCCATGAATAAAGAGAACCATTTGCCAAGGACGAAAACATTTTGTTCTCAAAGCACCTCCAGCCTTCAAATCACCGTTGTGTTGACGCAAACGTCTTGCAGGATTTGTAGTAAATCCGATATAAGTACGATTCTTTCCATATGGATGTTCGGACAGTGACCTTAATAGATAACAGCAATAGAAACCATCACTATGTGTTTCTTCGTGACAATGCAAATCTCCTTCCAAAGAGGAAGCAGGACACTGAGTAGTGGTGTTGAATTTATTCTCCAATCGTACTCGAAGTTCAGGAAAAGGAAATGAGTCTTCTTCTTCCGAAATAGTTCCTGTAGGAGAAGATAATAAAGTCGTGTTGAAAAGTTCTTCTACTCTATTTCTAGTCAAAGACATAAGAAATGGTCTAAGACAAGTTGTCAAATATGGAAAGCCACATTTCCCATTTCAAAACGGTCCACCAAAATTCTCTTTTTGGTACAAACCATTTTTCCATCTGCGAGTTGCTTTGAAAGAATCGAATAGTTTGGAAGTCTTCTTATCTATTATTTTCTATAGGTGTGCATGTGATAACAATGGGAATGGAAAAAGACTAGTGCCAAAAGAAAAAGTAACAACATGCAGAAGCTCATATGACTTTTCAAGCTTTGCTCAATTGAATTTCATTCAAAAGATACTATCTCAGAATGTTTGTTTTATGTCAGTAGGAAGAATAAGCAGTTTATCAGTAGTTCAAATCTTATAAGGAAACTACTCTTTCACAACATTTCTTTAAGAAAATAAAATCTGATTGAATCCCTTTTGGAGGAGATATGGCCTTCTTATCTTGGAGGCCGCTTACGATGAAACTTGAAAACAGCATAACGGTTCGGAATAATAAGTGTTGGATTAGTGATTCTTGTCAATCTCTTGGGTTTCCTGTTCTTACAAAGTTTCCTTCCACACTCTGGATCAAAAGGTACAAGCAGCAAGTATTCTTATGTCGAAAGAACAATCAACACTGCAACCCTTTCTTGATAGTGAACAGAATGGACATATATGATACAACCTTAAGAGATGGAGCACAGGGTGAAAATATCTCTTTTACAGTTATCGACAAACTTCGAATTGCAAAAGCTTTGGATGAATTTGGAGTTCAGTACATAGAAGGTGGTTGGCCTGGAAGTAATCCTAAGGATGTAGAATTTTTCAAGAGAGCCAAGCAAGAACTGCATTTGTGTCGTGCCAAGTTGGTAGCTTTTGGGAGTACTCGAAGAAAAGGCATTCGTTGTCAAGATGATGTTAATCTTAGGCTACTAATAGAAGCAGAAACTTCAGTAGTAACCATTGTAGCCAAGTCGTGGAAGGAACAAGTGATTAACGTTTTAAATGTTTCTTTAGAAGAAAATTTGGCTATGATTGAGGAATCAGTTCGGTTTTTGAAGGAGCATGATAAGGAAGTGATGGTAGATGCTGAACACTTCTTTGATGGATATAGCCACAATGCTTCTTATGCTTTGGCTTGTTTGGATGCAGCAATTCGTGGCGGAGCTGATGTCTTAGTATTATGTGATACGAATGGAGGTTGTTTGCCTTGGCATATTTATGAAACAACCAGTTCTGTTGCCAGTCATTTTGGTAGTCAACAAAGGATTGGCATACATTGTCATAATGATATGGAATTGGCTGTATCTAATAGTTTATCAGCTGTTTATGCTGGAGCTTCACTTGTACAAGGAACTATGAATGGTTATGGAGAACGCACTGGGAATGCCAATCTAATCAGTATTATTCCAACTCTTCAACTGAAAATGAATTATAATGTAGTTGGTTCGAAGTTGATATCTTTGACAGAATTATCAAGATGGATGGATGAAGTAACCAACGTTCCTCATCAACCTTCACGACCTTATGTTGGAGATTGTGCTTTTGCCCATAAGGGTGGATTGCATGTATCTGCAATTTTAAAGGATGAGCGATCTTATCAACACATTGATCCTTCTCTAGTAGGAAATCGAAAACGGATGTTGATTTCAGAGCTTTCAGGAAGAGGAAATATTGTTGATAAGATGAAGCAGATGGGAATCGTAACAGACTCTCAGTTGCAAGATCCTGAATGGAAACGACGTATTCAAGGAATCTTGGAACAAGTCAAATCATTAGAGAATAAAGGTTATACCTTTGAAGGTGCGGAAGCTTCCATAGAATTGATGATACGACGAAGTTTGAATAATTATCGTTCTCCTTTCGAATTGTTGGATTTCACAGTGTTGACTGGCAACAAGAGAGTGTATTATGCAGTCGGAGAGTCTAACAATATTTTAACTCATGGAGTTTATTCATCTGAAACTTTCCGTAACGAATCTATCACACAAGCTATTGTCAAGCTTGGAATTTTGGAGACTTCAAATGGTGCATGCCCTATAGAAAGGACTAGATGTTTCGAAGCAGCTGAAGGAAATGGTCCTCTGAATGCTGTCAACCTTGCACTGAAGAAGGCTCTTGTTCGGGTTCATGCTCCTTTAGAACATGTCAATCTTCAAGATTACAAGGTGCGTATTTTGGATAATGAATCTGCAACAGCTGCTGTTACTCGTGTTATGGTGGAGTTTTATGATGCAGAAACCAAATGTGTTTGGAGTACAGTTTGTGCACATTCCAATATTATTGTTGCAAGTGTTCAAGCACTGATGGATGGATTCGAATATGCGTTGCTTCAGAGATTGCCTGCTTGTTTTATTGCTTCTGAAGGAGAGTCTTCTGAAAAAAGCGCCGTTCTTTTATAAAATGAATATGAATGAATGACAACCATACAGACTTTTTATATACATAATATATATATATATATATATATATATATATATATATGGAAGAATCTTATCATAATAGCTTTTGATATCATCATATTTGAATGAGTTTTCTTGATATAATCGTAATGTCCTTATGAGAATTACGAAAATATCTAAACTTTACATTTGGGATGACTTTCCAATAAACCAACTTGGCAATATATAGTATGTTACCTATCTAGTTAGAAATGGGACACCAAGCTTCTAATATATGACAAGTGAACTCCCTATAAGAACATAAAGTAGGACTGTGAAATGTATCACATTCTCCAGATGAACCACTGACAAAGTCTGAATCGATCCATATAGCAAAATGCTTACCACCCCCTATAGCTAGGAAATCCATACTGCTTAGTTGAAAGGAATGATTTTCGGAAGACCATCGATAAACATGATATTCTGGAGATAGAGTAAATACAAAACATTCTCCAGTGCCATAATAGTGTAAGCAAGGCTTCCAAGGCTGTGATGCATAACAACCAAAGCAATCACCGTCCGTATTCTTGATAAGAAGCAATGTAGGACTTTTCTCCGATACTCGACTATAAAAAGTGTGAATGCTAATTCCATGATCATTGGTCGAATACAGAAGACTCCAATCGCAGTTCTGATAACGTCTAGGCATACATAAAGAGAGCAATATCAAATCATTGGAACGAAGAATGGCAGAATTCTGCAACAATTTTGGAGTAAAATGAGATAATGAATTGCCAGTTTGCAAAGTTCTGAAGCGCGAATGCAATTGTTGCGTTGAAAAGTATAAAGATTCCATAGGGCTTTGTAAACCTACAAAAGTTATATCTTGTTTTTCACAAACATGAATAAAACCCAATGGCACAGAAATATTGGCGTCTTTCAGCACTCGTTTGGAAAAGGATAACTCTGGAATATCCTTCAGCCTTTTCTCCAATGATACTTTGGCAATTTCTTTCTCACTTTGAAAGACAACTTCTGAATCTAAGGGCCTAAATACAAGCAAATCATGGCATAGTGAAAGAGTTCCTTGCACTCCTTGGTCTTGTCCTTGATTGCTTGTTCTTAAAACGTCAACAGTTATTTCGTTAGAAAACATTTCCTTTTCCAAAGAGGTTTCTTTTTCTTCTGAAACGGACTCAAACGAGCTACGTTCCGGTTGTATATCTTCCCTGCTTTTCTTCTTCACAGGTTTCTTCTTGTTCCAGAAATGAGAACCCATAAAATTTTCGTGTTCAGCGTTTTGTGAAGTCTTGTTGAACAAACTTATTCCAACATTTGGACTCTTCCGCTCGGAAGAGTCTTCAGTTTGCACGAATCCAGAAGTTTGCAGTTTTCCTTGAAGATTTTGTAGATTTCTCAATTGCAGCGAGAGAGACTCATTTTCAAAACGCAATTGTGCCAATTCCACTTTCAAAGCAGCTATTTGACTTTCCCAACCTTCTTTCCAGTAGCCAGAAGAATTCGTTGGCTTGTCTTGTCCAGTTACAGTTACCGAACGGTCTATGTCGTTCACATTCAAAGACTCCTGACTTGCTTTGTTCACAAAGTTTGCTTCCTCAGAAAGTTGTTGTTGGGAAACTTGCATTTCACCAGTCTACTTTCTAACACAACTGGTGAGTTTGCAATCTCAAGAAATCATCATTTGCCAATTCATTTGTGCGTTGTGGTGTCGCGTGTCTCACACTGTTCAAAGAGCTTAAAGGCACCAAGTATTTGATATGGATGTTTTAGGAGTTGTGGCCCGAATGAATACAGTTTCAGAAGATTTTCTTGTTTATTGGGTTAATAGTCATGTGCTGGACCCTTTACTTTCTACCCAAACAGCTCCCGAGGCCATCCCTTTGTGGAGACGTTCACTTGTTACTTGGTTTCTTGTATACTTTGGTTCAATATTTATCTATTACTTTTTTGGTTGGATTGATTATTACTTTATCTTCCTTCGTAACGAAAAACGTAAGAACCCTCGTTTTCGTGTGAACAACAATATATTGTGGAAGGAAATATGGATGAGCACTTGGAGTTTGTTTGTTATGTCAGCGTTCACAACTCCTATGGAAGTATTGGTACAATTGGTACGTTATATTGTTTTGGTTTTATAATTTGTTCTTGTCTGACTTTTAGATAACTATATTGAGGGTTACTCAAAAGTCTATCACCGTGTCGAAGACTATGGTTGGTTTTATCTAATTATATCTCCGTTTTTGTTTGTATTTTTCTCAGACACTCTTATTTACTTTATTCATTTGGGACTTCATCATCGACTTGTCTACAAACATCTTCACAAGCCACATCATAGTTTTATAGACACAACTCCTTTTGCTGCTTTTGCATTTCACCCTATTGATGGTTTTCTTCAAGGAGTTCCATATCAATTATATGTATTTTGTTTACCAATACATGCAAGTCTTCATTTAGTAAGCTTAACAGTGGTAGGAGTGTGGACCATTAATATTCATGACAGAGTTACTCTTCATATTCCTGGTGTGAATGGAGCAGGACATCATCGTGTTCATCACAAGACCTTTAAAAGTAATTATGGACAATATACCGTCTTTTGGGACAAAGTATTTGGAACTTTTAAAGATCCCATGGAATGGATGCATCAAGGTGCTTGGGAAGATAGAGAAGAAGACGTATATGGTAAAAAATATCTTTAGAAATGGAGTGGATATCTATGACGATGATTTTTATCTATTTGTATCAAATATGAATTTTGTTATTGTAAGGTTTTATTATTCCGATAAATAATGTATCAAGTGCAATGTGGTTCATTTTCCTTTTCTTTTCTTTGGTTAAATCGTTCTATTCATTTTTCTTTGTTTACTTTTTGCTTTGGATTATGACAACATCAGCAGCTCGCAAGAGAGTTGTAGCTTCTGAAAAATTTGAAGATAAAGTAGTAAAGAAGAACATAGGCCAAAACAAAGACAAGAAAAAGTCTATATGGTCATCCATTCCTGTGAGTCCTGTAACGTTGGGTTTCATTTTGTTTGTTGTTGTTGGTAGCAGTTTCCTTCCCATCATACGAGCTGCCTTTGGTAGGAAATTGGGTATTGAAGCAGCACCAGAGTTGTAGACGTTTATGGTTTGTCGTTGTCTTCCATGTTTTGACAGAGGCTATAACACTGTCTATGGATAGGGTGCCATCAGCAACGTAAAAACTATTTTCTTTATTGGCGCAACTTGTCTCAAAAATAAAACACTGTTGTTATTATAGCATCAAGAAATATATATTCATTAAGACATATTGAGTAGTCACTAGGACGTTGACTTCAAATGAGCTTCTTCTGACGGAAAAAGTTACGCAAATAATATACAAGATAAGCACCCGCAGCTGTCATCATAGTTATGGACAAAACACTATACCAAACAACCCTTGAGTTGGTATTCTCGTTGGTTTCTTTCATATGTGCTTCACGGGTTCTTACATTTTCTAGTTCAACAACGATCTGACCAAACTGCTCTTCCATACGACGTAAGGCAGCTTCTAAGCTGTTTAAGTGTTGTACTTTGGCAATATCCGTAAACCCCGATGATACAAAATCAGTTTGTACGTTCAATATTATCTTTCTCTTTGGGGGAGGTGAACCAGAAGGAGGACGAAGAGGAGTTGTTTCAAAACAAAAGTGATAACTTGCAGGAGGCCAATGGATATCATTAGTTGCAAACCCAGTTTCTTCAGAAACCACGTGTTGTGGAGTAGTGAAACCAAAGGATTGCTTATCTATATTCTTCTGTTGAACTATAATCTCCCCTTGCGGTCCTCTAATCTAGAACAACTTCAAGCTCAATATGGATTTGACACTTTGACAACTTACCAACAAATCTACAGACATTGATCCTTCTGCACCAACTACGAGACACTCACCAAATACCTAATAGAGTCTTCATTTAGAACCAAGAACATCAAGTCACTTGCATTATGTCTCCGATACCTTTGTATTAGAAGTAATCTCTTCCGAGAAACAACGTTTGGTTCCCGCGTTCATATAAAACTGAATGGAGTGACAATATTCAAACAAGTTACTTATAACCAACAAATAAAGAAGTAAACTCCAACACATTCCAAAAGTACCCCGACTCATCTTTACCAAAAGGAATAGATTAGTTGAACAATTTTCTCGGAATTTTATATATCAACGACATTCGATATAATAATACATATGAAGCTTAATCTACAAAACACGGATTATTTCATTCAGAGACATTATGCAACAGATATTGGGACCATTCTCGAAGTGTACCTATGGGTAACAATCCATCTCGATAGGTAAAGGCAATGTTGCCTCTTGACTGTTGACGTAGTTGTTCCAATCCTTCTAAAAATGTTGCAGCTTCTAAAGTGTCTTCTGCATATCTTTCTGCGTCAATCATATTATCCCATAAGTGAGGTGATAAGGTTGGGGGTAACAGAGCTGGAGGAGCTTCTCTATAGGAATAGAATTGTTTGGACACTTTTCCAAATACAGTTTGAGTACTAGTTGAGGAGTTGCCATTATAAGGCTCCTTTGTCAAAGATGCCCATTTTTCAACAAGATAATGAAGCACTGGATCATTCTTGTCCAATAAGTTTGTCGCATATCTTGCCATCACAATTCCCTTACTTTCTAAAACAGAAGAATCAGATGACACCTGCTTCATGAGCTGTTCTGCAAGTTCTTCTGATAGACACATAAGACATACTTGAATATTTCGATACATTCCTTTTTCACGTCTTCTCACAAAGTTATCCAACATCTTGGATACCAAGGGTGAAAGCTGTTCATCTCGGATAAAGAACTTGCGACAAAAATAAATCCACAGCTCTATCGAATATATCCATTGCTTCTCTAACATAGCTCGATATCCTTCTTCACAAACTTTTGTGGCTCTAAAGGCTATTCGATAGGCTATCATACTTGAATCAAGTCTTTCTGCAAAGGAGTGACACGTGTCCTTATTCGAAAATAAAGCAATAACCGTTCGAGTCGAGTAATGATCATCCGTATGTCCATTTTGTAACCAATCAGAATCCTTCATTTGGCTCAATAACCTTTCCATTTGCAAAATTGTCGACAAAGAGTTGGAAGCTTCCAAAGAATTTCCATTGTGGTTATTTCTCTTATGATGCAATCGTTGAATATCGTGCAATAAACTTGTTGTTGCTTCTGAATAGTTTGCATAAGAGACTGCCAAGTTCAGGAAGATAGCCAAATCATATTGTTCTGTTGCTAAGCAAAAATTGGGAAGAAGTGACAAGCAATATCTAAAACTATAATCGGAATCTTTGATTTGCTTAAATGAAGTCTTCATTGCCTCTTGTGCCTGTTGAATCAGTTCCTGCACTCTTTGCTTCCATTCTTGCTCACTCTTTTTCCAATCATAACGATTCAATTCATTCATGAAAGCGTCGTTTTCCTTTTTGATTTGTTCCAAAATTTCGGGAGGAAGCAACTCATAAGCCTCTTTCCTAATTTCATAATACCATTTACAGTCCATCGAGATCTGACCATCAATAGAGGAACTTTGAGAGTCTCTTGAATGACGAAAAGACTCTACCAAATAGTCATCAATATAAATGATTCCATAAGCTGACGCAAATTTGTTTCCACCAACAGAATCTAATAAAACTTGATCCCAAGAGACTGCATTCACTACAACATCATTATACATATACCACTGATCAGCAAACCAATCTTTGATAAAAGTCCAATAATGGCCACTGTCTGGAGCTCCATCTATGAACGAATACAACAAGAAAAGCATAAAAACTTAAATACTGCAAATAAACAGACATCAAGTCTTTGTTCTTCTTCTAAAAGTTGTTCCTTTTTGTTTACAAGTCTTTTCTCCAAAGCAAGTTCCTTTTCATTCAGCTTTTTCAAAATAGAAAGACAACTTTCTAATTCTTGTTGAGAAACGTCAAAATCATTTTCATTCATTTCTGAAAGATAACGCAATCGTTGAATTACTCTGTTCAATGCACTGGAAAACTTTAAAGTTTCCATAAAAGGAAATGTTTGCTGCTCACTTTCGTTTAAAAAGCCAAACCATCGCTGTTCATTCAACTTCTTTATCGTCTCCTGAAATTGCTGTCTCAAGAATTCTGACTTTCTTCGAAGTTCTTCTGCAGCCTCCTTTTGATGTTCCAAATAATGACTCATTTTCAAAGAACCTGGAAAATGAAACGAATCGTGAACCTTTTCTGGCGTCAATGTCTCCTTATTGAATCGAACTCGTTGTAAATAGATGGTTACTACCGGAGCAATATGAACAAACCACAATCTTTGATAGGCTGGAATGCTGCTTGACTGAGTCCAATCTACAAAATCACCCTTGTTGACATAAGGAGATCGGAAAAACTCTATAGAATCTGTCATGGAATGAGGCAATTGCTTCACAACATCGGACTCTTTATCGATATGAAATTCTATCTCAGAACATGTCAACTCATCCAATCCTCGATAAAGATTTCTTTCATCTCCAGATGGAGTAGTTGCATCGATAATAACTGAGTTGGTTTCGTGAGTTTGTTCCGCAACTTTGATAGTCTTTCGTTCTTCATCTAAAGCTCGAAAATCTACAAATATTTCTTGCTTCAACTGCGATGTAAATGTATTCTTCACAATATTATCGAATGATGACTGGATAGAGTCTTCACAACTTTTATGAGAGCCAACTATTTGTTCTACATGAGAATTAGTTTCCATATTCTTCTTAGAATCATTGAGCTTTCTCTCAAGTAGTTGAGTTGCTGAAACTCCCATTTCTAACAATTCTAAAAAGATTTGATTGAATTCTGAAGCATCTTGTTGACCACCTATTTGTAAGCCATATTTAGTATCACTCTTTAAGGTCTCAATGAGTCGTTGAGGATCTAAATATTTTTCTTCACTCAATGCCATTCTTCCAAATAGATTTTGTAACTCAACAACAAAGTCAACTGCATTACGGAGCTGAACAAGTGAACAACCTCCTTGCTCATCTTCCAAAAGTTGTGAATGGTTCTCAGCCTCTTTCATAAGTTGCTCAAATTCTTCGTGTTTAAAAGAAAATACTGCCTTCCGAATAGCTGGAAGTGTAAAATATACTTGTAACAGAGAGTTGACATAGCAAATATTGGCAACATTCCTTAAACCAACGGGAGCAAAAGGTGAACTTCGCTTACGTCTCGAAGGATCGAAAGGCTCAGATACCGAATACGCATGATGAGGATCACTTGTCATTAGAGACTCTTCGATGGCTCTTTGAGTGTCTTTGTCTTCCAAGTTTGATGGCTGTCTTTCTTCTGGAGGACTCGTTTCGCGCTTACTAATGGCTAGAGCTTTGGTTAGGTCATTCTCAGAAGGTTTCTTTTCTTTACTCAACCCATTCGTTGGAAAACCTGAATGGCTTGAACGTTTATTTCCTTCACTTGACTTTTTCTTTCCGTTGGACAAACTTGACGTGCCTGCAAAGAAGAGAAGGGATGGTCCTTCTGTATGATCTTCACCATATTCACGAATAGAAGTTTGTTGTGGACCATGATTGGTACCTTTACTTTTCTTAGTTTGAGTGGTTCCCAAGTTGACTGTTCCCGCTATTCTTTGAATAGTACTTTTGTTGGTACTTGACTTGTGTTCGAAAAGAAAGTTTACTGCTTCGTCAACGGTGCTACAACCAGCTGCTTCAGCTCTATCAACGTCTTGTTTTGAAAAGCCCATTTCAGTCAAGTGAGTTTGTAGTGAGGCGTTCATCTTTTTCAAGGTTTCCTTTAAGACGACATAAATAAATGACAAGCCACTTTTTGTGACAATATTGAATCTGAAATACTCGTAATCATCATCATGTTCAACAATGTGAAACTTTATACCAAGTTAATGAAAAGTATTTGGTATTCATTCCTTTTAGTAGTCTTCATATTTCTTAAAAAGTAGAATTGGCATATGGCTTTGAAATATATTTCGCTATTGGGAGAACGACCGCTCTCCTAAGATACGCTTGTTTCTATTGCGACGATGCTTATCATCTGATTCAAAGTGCGAATCTTCATAAGAAGATAATGGCTGTTGAAAGAATAACGGGTCATACTGGAAATAGAAGAGAGAATATTAAATTGTAAAGCTCTATCAGCAATGCACTTACATTCTTCACTTGATTAACCAATTCCTTTGGTAAAGAGTGGATATTTTTGAGTTTCTTACTCACAAGATAACTTGTACATTTGCCTTTACCATACCAAGAAGGACAATCTCCATAACGAACCCAAGACAGAATAGGACTCATGAACAATCTACTCAAAAAATGAGTATAATGATACAAGTCTATAACGTTCAACTTTCAATCCCATCGCATTCTCCTTCATAAACTCTTACCATATTTCTCCAAAGTGGATATATAACCCGCTTTCTTATTCCCTATTCTTACAAAAATAGGCAAACTATATACTCGAATATTAGCCATATGGGTTACTCGAGAACCTAATAAAGTCTTGCTGGACACAGAAACACTTTGCTTTGACAATTCGACTGATCGATTGTCCCAAACAAGCTGTATATCCTATCCAAAAGATAAGAAAATTGTTAAAATACTGTGTAAACCAACAAACTTGTTGAGGATAAAATATGGGATTTACTTTTCTCGTTCGCCTTTGAGAAACGCATTCACTCAGGTAGCTTCCTGTTTCTGGATCTTTCAGAAAATAAAGCTTTTTAGAGGATACAACAGCTTTTGTTGTTCCTTGGTTAATGGACTGTTGTGAAATACTTCGAACAGTTCCCCATTCTAAACCTTCAAGCAACGCAATAACCTAATAATTACGCGATTGATCCCAATAACTTGCACGAAACACAACTCCCGAAAACCTTTCCAGTCTCACACGACACTATACTGCCAGTTCCGTACCAATAACAATTTTTACCAAGTAGAGAATTTCTCCATCTCAAGTTTACATATTCTACAAAGTCTTTTGCTGTCCAAAGACGATTTACAAAGTTGTCCAAATTCATATTCCAAATGCTTTTTCTTCAAAGAAATGATTCCTTATGTGTGTTAAAAGGCTATTTATGGGATGGTTTGGAGAAGAAAGAGATACTTCTTAATGTATTACAATAAGAGCATATTGTATTGGTTCTTTTGTTAAAAAGTCATCATTTTTGGTTCAACATTTCTTCAGATGTTATTTTTCTAGTGCATATATATATGATAAGAAAATCAGCATCACAAATATATTCAAATCCACAAATGACGTGCCAGCCCGCTTAAAGTATTCTTTCGATGCTATTTGATTTGCTTTATGCTTTGGTTGGATATACTGGAAATGTTATTGTAAGAAAAGACAATACTTCAAATATCAAAAGAACAAGTGAAAAAGTCTCGTTTCAGTTGGCTCCCGACTTTCCATATGTAAACCCTGCAGAAAGAAGAGCTATAGATCGAATTAGTAATATAGGGGCGTTATATGTCACAGTTTATGAATATGGTTGCAAAGACATCCTTCCACAAAAGTCCAAACAATCAATCTATATTCTCGCTCTTCAAAAAGGACTTGATGAAATATTGGATGAATATAGAGAACTTGTAGCCAGCTATGAGGAAGAGGCAATTCATAAACGATTGCAAAACCTTTCTTTGGTAGAAGGAGAACTTCGTGTGTGGGAGAGAAGACTGGAAGACTTATGTATGCTTTTTGACAAAATGAAAGAGGCAAAGAGACTCAATGGTCCTGAGTTAATCACGCAATTGATACAGTTTTGTACATCTGGTTCACCCGACACTGCTAGCCTTTGTATGAGGTTGTTAAAGAAGTGTATGAAAGTTCTTTTGGTTCAGTTACAAACTTGGCTCTATTACGGAGAATTGCAGGATCCATTTGAAGAATTTTTCTTAAGGAAAGAACCAAAGACTGCTTCCGAACAACGAAAAGATGATTCCTCTTTTTCTCTTATTGATGATATCGTTATTGCACAAGAAAACCTCACATCATTACTAAGTCCTTCCATGGTAAAAGACATTCTATTTATTGGAGGAGTTGTAAAGGCACTGCGCAATTCTGAAGATGCCTCGTCTCAAGTGGATTGGAATGAACTCGAAGTACAGATAGATAGCCTACGTTCTTTGGAAATGCAACCACTTAGAAGTTTGCCATTGCAATCCAATATTCAATATATTCGACAATGGGCTTCAAAACAACTCATGAAGTTCTTATTTAGGGTTTCGTGGTGGAAGGAATTCGAGTTTCTCCGACAAACCTTTTTGTTAGGTAAAGGTGACCTATGGTTCTATTTTTTACAAGACATTTGTGATGTGTTGGTTATTCCTTCCATGAACGAATGTAAAGAATCTGTATTGAATTCCTTTTTAGAAAAGTCATTGCTCAAGACCTTTTTCGAAGTTGACTTTCGATACGAAATGTTGAGTTTCCAGAGAATGGATTTTACGTCTGTCAACAGTGACTTGTGCAACAACCTGCTGCCATTGTCTAGTGGTTGGAGTTATATCAGTTTATCTTATGTACCTCAAAAGCCATTACATATTTTAATGACTTCAAAAGATCTAGAGCATTATTCTCGAATTTTCTGTATAGTATTTGCTATAGCTCATGTTCGCTTTCAAATGGAGCGCAGTTGGCTCATATTACGAAATCGTTTTAGAAGATGCAACCGAATAGCTCTTGTAGATTATAGAAATATTTTTCATTTACTTTGGAGATGTAACTTTCTAGTCCATTGTCTTGAAGAATACTTTCAGATTGGCTTGATTGAAGAATCCTTTGGTACTTTTATGAAGCAGTCAAAAGGAGCTTCCGACTTTGATAGCGTCCGTATGTTGCATCAGAAATATCTTGAAACTCTTGTAAAACGCACTCTTATCTATTCTGCATCATTCATTGAGTCACTGGATAATCTATTGCAGGTTTTTAGAGAATATTGTATTTATATTCAGCACAGATTTGTAGAGGAGAAGACTTTGGCAGCGTTGTCTATGGAAAGCATGGAACAACCAATCAATCAGCGCATTGTTGCATTCCTTCAAGAGTTACAACAGTATCCTAATCATCCAGTTAGTAATATGCTTTTGAATAGAATAGATTTTAACAACTTTTATTTCTTGGAAAGTACTCCAATGAAAGAGAATGGAATGACTTGTATAGAGGACGAACCATTGGAAAATGAAACAGAATAAATTGCATTTGTTTCCTCAAGGCTCTTAACAAGTTGGTTGCTAAAGAGAGAGAGAGAGAGAAAGACTATGGCTTCCGTTACAGAGAATCCTTACTTGAAAGTATTGCGAGGAAGAATTAGGAACCTTCGCAAAAATATTGACAAGTTAGATCGTCTGGAACAGCTGGCAAACCAAGGTGCTGTCCTCAATTCGCAACAGTTGGAAAGTCTTCGTAACAAGGCATCGAGACAAGCTGCACTTTGGGAGTTGGAAGATATATTAGTTAGAATGACATCGATAGTTCCGAAGGAGGAAGTGCTTTCTTCTGTTAAAGCAAAAGGCAAAGAAGACCCAAAGGAAACCCACCAAACTTTCACTATTGAAAAGCAACCTCATCAAAAGGTGGCAGAGTTGGATCCAAGTAGTGGTTCCAGTTTATTATTGGAATCTGCGGTGCAAGCTGAAGAAGATGGCGTTGAGCAGTTGAACAAGAAACAACAACAAGAAGAAGCTCTGGTACAGAATATATTGACGATTCTTCACGTGAGCGATTTTATTGTCAATGAGCCAGAAGCCGTAGAAACTATCGTCAAGGAAAATCTAGAGCTACCACAAGGAAAGTTTGGCAAGCTTAGTCGTGTGCATATGGACTCTGTGAATTACTTTGCAAAGATGCTTACGTCACCTGATGGAGATATTCCAATTGAAAGGGCTTTGTTGGTTTCAACGTATCACGCGATGGAATATTTGCAAAGAAGTAAGAAGGAAGCCATTCCAGGAATAAGTTATGAATTTCTTCACGAAATCATTTCCACTATAGCCTCTCATCCATTGCTTGTATTTCGTGGAGTAAATAATTCCAGCAATATGTCAACACAACGAGAAAGTCAACTTGTGGAAAATGTTGTGGAACAGATAAACTTTTTTGCACAACCAGTGGAGGATGAAATGGATTCAGGAATCGACAGTATAAATAATTTACAAATTGGTGACTCCTCCATTGTCATTAGTGGCGATAGTGCATTTCCAGACTCTCATCCAGTGGATAGTCTTAAAGGCAGTTCTTATTTAGATTTCACTCTTAACAATAATCCCTCCAGAATTATGATTGACGATGATAACATTTTGATTATTCAAGATGAGAACGCAGATAATCCACTCGATCACTTCATTGCATCATCAGCGAGAGATATTTCATTGGAGGAATCTATTTCACGTTCAGTATTTGCAGATACGGACCCATTTATGAAGAGCAATTCAAGCAATCGTCAAAATGGCAACTTATATAAGAAGAATAATATCGATAGAATGATAAATGAATTTATCAGTTCTCAAGAACCTGCCTCAGAGCGTGCTTATACTGGTTTGGATAAGTCATCTCGGGAAGACACTGTATCTATGCAATTCTTTCATCGAAACAACATAAATGAAGTAAGCTTTTTAGACTGGGCTGATGAGGAGACTCATCATAGTTCAGAAGAAACTTATGATATGAAATTTGAACCAAATTCAGGAATGCCAAAACGCATTTTATCACTAACCGGTAATGTGAAACTGAACCATGGCTCACAGAATTCAAAGAGTCAGATGGAAACTGAAGATGATCGTTTGGGTGGACAGAGGATGCGAAATATGGAATCAGACAAGTTACGTTGGTCCAAGAACCGTAACAAACATTCCCAATATACTTCTAGACAGGGTTTAGAAGGAGAACGAAACAAAATACACAACAGACAGCCATTGTGGACTCGAAGGGATACTAGACGAAGCGATAATGGAAAACAATCCTTTTGAGAACCAAGTTGATCTGAAAGCATTGTTGAACTTTTGAAATTTATCTTGAATAGTGTCGAATGACTTGTCACAGCTGAGATATCCAAAACTTTATAGATACAAAAACACACAATTCCTGCCTTATTTGAATAAAACAGCGCAGATAAAACCATTTTATGAATAACTTTCTATGAGGAATGTATACAATAGATACACTCAAATAGGAGGAGGACGCTTTTTCCCTCTCCATAAAAACCTCAAAGGAGTTCCTTTGAATCCAAGCGATTTTCGAAAATAATTTTCGATATATCTCTTGTAGTTTTCCTTGAAAAGTTTCGGCTCATTCACAAACAATGTAATGGTTGGTGGTTTACTACTAACTTGAGTACAATAATATATTTTGCCTTGCTTCCCTTGCTTATTTGTAGAAGGAGGATTCCACACAATTGCCTCTTCCAACACTTGATTCAATACTGAAGTAGAAACTCGACGAGAATATTGCTCATATACAGACTCTATCAACTCATAAACTTTTTCACAACGTTGACCAGTAGTAGCAGAAACGAATAGACAAGGTGCCCAATCAATAGCTGCAAGTCGTGTTTGAACATAATGTTTTGCCTTTTCATAAGTATCTTCATCTTTCTGTACCAAATCCCATTTGTTCATCAAAATGATGCAACCACGTCCTTCTTGTACTATACGCTCAGCCAACTTCTCATCCTGCTCTACGATATCAGCAACAGCATCCACAACCAAAATAACCAAATCTGCTCTACGTATTGCTTTGAATGCTCTATTGATCATGAAAAATTCTGTACCATATTCGACCATCTTCTTCCTTCTAATCCCAGCAGTATCCATTAAGCAATATATTTTCTCATCTCTTTGAATTGTGGTATCAATAGTATCTCTGGTAGTTCCAGGAATATCACTGACAATCGCTCGAGTCTCACCCACCAGTCTATTCAAAATAGAAGACTTTCCAGCATTGGGTCGTCCTACGATAGCTATTCTTCTGACATTCCTTTCATCCACTAAATATGGCTCGTGAAAAACATTTCCTCGTTCACATATATACTCTACTAACTTGTCAAGTAGGTCTCCTGTTCCAATACCATGTATTCCACTAACTGGAAAAGGTTCACCTAGACCAAGTTTCCAAAATTCGTTTGCATCTAAATAGCGCTGTTCGTCATCACATTTGTTTACAGCAAGCAATACGGGGAGACCAAGTCTTCGTATCATCTTTGCAATTTGTCTATCCAAGTCAGCAACTCCCACAGTACTATCTACTACAAAAATAGCTGCTGTAGCTTCATTCAAGGCAATCAAGGCTTGTTCTCTGATTTCCTTCAGAAATGGTACTTGTTCTCTACCTTCGTCAAATACCAAACCTCCAGTATCTACCAATTCAAAGTCTATTCCGTTCCAAAATGCACGATGATATGTTCTATCTCTCGTAATACCGGGAACATCCACAGCAATGGCGCCAAAACGAAAGTCTCGAGTTAAGCGATTCAGTAGTGTACTTTTTCCCACATTAGGTCGACCCACAATAGCAACTAGTGGAAGATTTCTTCTTATAATCCTAGTTTTTGGAATTTCTTTCCGAGTTTTTTCCTCTGTTTGACTAGTCAAATCGTCCTTTGTTGAGTTTTGCTTTGCAACCAACTGGGAAAAGGGTACCATCCTTTCAAGAATAGTTCTTCCATAGGGCAACATATCTATTTGCAAACACTTTTTGCATACTTTATGGTTACGCCATGAACACTTTTTGGGTGAAAAAGCTTTTCGTTTGGGTTTATTTCCTACAAGAGGATGGGATACAAAAGTCTCCATTCGAAATGGAATAATGAATTTGTTGTTGTATCTTTGAATTTATTTCAATCCAATAGGATAATGTATATATCAAAGTTCACTATGATCCATTTCAACATTTTCCATTGGAGAAGTAGTCACCACGTGAGATTCTATAGGTTTTTTAGAGGAATGTTCCAAATGATATCTTTCACCCAATTGGTATAGAAAAGATACATACGCCTTTCTTGCTTTGTCCATACTACCAATTCGATAAAATTCATTCGGTCCGTGAATATTCTCATCAGGCAATCCAAATGCCAAAAATATGGCAGGTATTTGGAATTCTTTCTGTATAAAACCTACAATAGGAATAGAGGCACCTGAACGAACATATTTAGGTTCTTCTCCTTGATAAATATCTAATAGAGTCTCTCGAAGAACTTGATTACTTAACATATCGGGATCTGATTCAAATGGTAAGGCATGAAATCCCAAGTCAAATGCTTTACAAGAACAACCAGCAGGACAATGTTGACTTACATGTTGAATCATTTTCTCGACTACTTTCTCAGGTACTTGTTCTTGTACCAAACGAAAAGAAAGTTTGGCATATGCATTGGCAGGTAACACCGTTTTGATGCCTTGATCCATATAACCTCCCCAAATACCTACAACATCTAGAGTAGGACGAAACCATAACCTTTCTACTGTATCAAAAAGTTCAGATTCACCACCAGCAAGTTGAGAGACGCCTGCTAATCTAGAAAGTTCTTGTTCAAAGTCAATAGACTGTCTGGCAAAGTCTTTCTCCTTTTGAGTTATTGGACGAGTTCCTTCATAAAAGCCTTCAACCGCAATGCTCTTATTTTCATGTCTCATGCTTTCTAGTAACTTGACCAAACAATGAATCGGATTTTGTACGACACCACCAAAGCCACCAGAATGTAAGTCATGAGATGGACCTGTTACATTTACTTGTATTGCTCCTGCTCCTCTCAGTCCCCAAACAATACTTCCGATATTTTCACTATGCATTGATCCATCTGCAGAAATCAACAAATCAGATTGGATCAACTTTCGGTTCTTGAGAAGCCAAGAAGGCAAGTCTGGAGAGCCAATTTCTTCTTGACCTTCAAAAAGAAGTTTAATATTGACCGGAGACCTTCCTTGCGAAACTGCTAAAATGGCCTCTACTGCATGCACTACTGAAAGCAAACTGCCTTTGTCATCAGAGGCACCTCTTGCATATATTTTGTCTTGAATGACTCTTGGCTTGAAAGGCTTTGTTATGTTCCATCCATCTTCCACACTTGCCGGTTGCACGTCAAAATGTCCTATACAAGTTGATCAATTAAAGCACTGAAAAGAATTCGTTTTCAAAAAGCACCAACCATATATTAATACTGTTGGAGCTTGGGGTACAGCTGCAGGAATAGAAGCATAAACAAGTGGATACTTTCCGACTTGAAATATTTGTACATTTGATATTCCAGCTCCTAACATACGATTCCTTAACCATTCAGCAGCTCCTTGAACGTCTTTCAAGTGTTCTGATGAGGCCGAAATACTCGGGAATCTTAAAAACTCCAAAAGTTCTTGTAGATAGAGTTGTTGTTTGTTCAAGAAAAAGCCATATTCTGGAAAGTTTCTCGGAATTCTTTTTTGTGCGATCGCAGTATGAAACATTACATATTGTGCAAATATGAAACATAACAAAAACACAAACTTTCTCATAATTCTTTTTTTTCTTTTCTCAAAACACTTTTAATGGAAAACGGTTGATTGGGCTTTTGAAATTGTCACGACGATGTGTTTTTATAAACTGTGAAAAACTGCCTTGTAATATATATGAGTTGGAGTGATATGAGTGACTGCTCAACTCCAAGATTTTACAATACCTGGGGTGTATAGTTGTAACAACTTGGTCAACTCCCACTGGTCCAGGGAAGAAACTCTCCAGTAGATCAAAAAGACACAAACTGTATATAAAGAGTTCTATGAGAAATTGGACTTTGTTTCCACTGGTCCTCTTTAGGTGAGTTTCTTGCTATAGCTTTTTGGCAACTCCTTCGGGATGACAACTTATGCTTGTGATTGGTTGCCAAAATATCTTTTTTTTAGTATTTGGATAACCATGTATCTACAGTGTCATAGTTACTCTGATAGTGTTGAGCTGGGTACTTTTCATCCTTTTGTGATTCCTTACTGATTGCTTTGATACAAGGTCTAGAATTTTCATAGAAAGTTGATGAACTACGATCTTTTTTGAGTTGACGACCGAAAGAATGGAGAGGGAAATGAAACGCAGTTTTCTACATTGCATCAAGAGAAAATACTTTTTGTAAAGGCCATTTTCTTCCTTCCTGTCATAACTCAAGTCATAAGCCTTTTGTTGTTATATCATTTGCACAGACAATTGTTCTCCTTGAGAGATTTGTGAAGTGGAGAGATGGCAATCTCCATTCTACTTCGAGTAAGTAGAAGTATCATATGGCTTGAATATTGTTGAACTGTTGACTCAGGCAATATATCGTGCTGCAAAGGCACTTGATACTGAAATAGCGAGAGGTGACTTTTCAGTCCTCATGGATGAGTATGCTCTGCTTTACAACTTTTTGGGAAAGAACTTTGGCCCCTTGGAAGAGAAGCCAAGTGTGAAAGCCTATGAAGAGACAACCTATGCTATCTCAACTTTTCAACTGGTGAAAGAAGCGTTGAGAAGAGAAAGAATGCGTATTCTTCAAACTCCAGATACGGTTGCAAGCGAAGAGCAACACTGGCATCGAGGGTTATCTCTACTTCAATTCTTACATTATAGGACACATTCGTTACAACAACTTGTGTTTGAGTCTCAAAGTGAATCTGTCTCACAAGGTATCAAAGTGGAGGTGAGTTCAAGGTACTGGAAAGGAGTGGAAACTCAACTGACGTGTTGAGAAAATAGAGTTATTCCGAATATTTAGGAGAGAGTATAATTCCTGAACTTGGAAGGCATTCTTTTTCATATTATATAAAACTAACCAATTTGGAACATGCTGAACCAGTTACTATTCTTGGAAGGTCTTGGAGGGTAACTGATATTCTTGGAAGGAAAGGTCGACTGAAACCTGTAGGTGAGTAAGCTTTTTAAAGTTTTTGTTTATAGAGGTTGTCAAGTTATGACTGAAATTGGAATATATTTAGGTTTATCAAATCAGAAGAATCCAGTCATTTCAAAAGGTCAAAGTTTTGGATATGAAGGTCAAACAGTTATAGATACGAAGAAGGGAACTATTTATGGAAGTTTTGAAGTTTTGAAAAGTCATAGTTTGTCTTTGTTTGTAGCAAATATGGCTCCTCTTGGACTTCGAGGAAAACATGTTGTTTCTAAAGTAACATTGACGTAATGAATGGATATGTATATATAGCGAATGTAGATATAAAGTGTCCATTTTATATGAGTGAAGAATGGATTTCCTTTATTATATTCTATATGGAGTATCCTTAGTATGGATGAGTTGAACAATTTCTTCAATGTCTGGTAACATAAAGTTGTTCCATTCCACTGTATTCCATTCTGAACCCATACTTGTTGTCTTTTGAGGACGATAATATAGTTTGCAATAAAAGGGATGCTTTTTGTATACAACCACTTCCATAGGGATTCTACAAATATCCTACAAAAACAAACATACAACTCAACACTCTTATCCAATTTTCAAAGAAAAAATTCTTACATCTAAAACAAAGGAATGTAAAAAATAAACACTTTTGTAGTATTTCCATCCATTGTAATGTTGAAAGGAAAAATGAGGAAAGCGTCCAACTTCAGTATTATCTCTACTTTGAGGATTCAACAACACATAGAAGAGCGACTCTTGTTGAACAATCATGGAATATAAATTGTTCCATTTGTCATTCTCATCAGGAGAAGATGGCATAACCAGAATAACACAACGAACATTATCTTTCCTTTCCATACTTTCTAAACTGTCGATAAAGACGTCAGCTATCGTCTCTGAGCCAAAATAATTTCGAGCTCTAGCGGCAAGCAAAATATTAGGAAATATAATTTGCAAAGGTTTCTTCTGAACTTTTTTAATTGCATCGGTTATAAATCTCACAAGAATGAATAAGTTATCTCTAGAAAAACGAGTCGAATGCCCAACGAATTCCTCCTTTAGAATATCCACCTATGCCACGTTGTACAGTATACAATTACATAAAATAAAACTTACTCTCACTCTATGCCAATTGGACAATATTGCAGACATAACACTACCGCTGCTTTCTAAAGCAGCTTCCCTAATATACACTGGAAACTCTGGTTGTTGACAATAAACCTTATGATGGAGCTGAGGGAAGCTCCCAGAGAGCTTACATGAATTGAGACCTTTCCTACCTATATTGAAACATAATGTGCTCATCTTGTATGGAATCAAGTACTGAAAACTTGGTAAAATACACATGTCTTAATTATAATAAACTTAGACGCAAGTCCATCTCATCTCATTCCCCATCATAAAATATGCATCAACGAGACTATTGGGAATCTCTTTACCGTGAAGAATACGACAGTTTTATAAAGTACAACCTTTATGGAGAAGATTGGTTTGAACAGTATACAGATGGAGGTCGCAAAATTGTAAACTTTATCGATATTTTAAGAATAGAATATACGGGTAGCCAGTGTTCCTTCTTAGACTTGGGTTGTGGAAATGGACAGTTCCTTTTCCTGTTGGACCCAACCAAGTTTACAAAGATTCTAGGGGTAGACTACTCTTCTTCTGCTATTGAGTTGGCAAAAGAGATGGGTGAAAAGAAGAACTCACCGATAGATTGGTTACAAGCAGTAAGCAAAGCAGTTTAAAGATGCACCGTTGAGTGACTTTTATAGGATGTTTTTGCTTTGCCACCTAGAGTAAGCAATGATGAGTGGAATATAATACACGATAAAGGAACTCTGGATGCCATAGAGTTGCAAGGAACAAAACTTGTTCGTGATTACTTACAAGTAGTGGTTGACTTGTTGGCGCCAAAAGGTTATTTTATCGTTACTTCTTGTAATAAGACACTCGATGAACTTGTATCCATTTTAGACGGCAAGCTTTCATTTTATAGAAACCTAACTTATCCAGTATTTCGTTTTGGTGGACAAGAAGGCACCGTACTTGTAACTGCAGCCTTTGTGAAGTAACTTGTATTTCGTTGTATTTGACAACCAAATAACTTTACAAAAAGACCCACATCTTTTTTACAAGTCTTTTTGTATCCCATTCGTATATTTCTTATAAACGACATAACAGTCTGGAGGATCAATATCTCTATAATAGTTGGTTTTCTTCTCTCCTATTTGAAAACCGTGCTTCTGATAAAAACCTAGCGCTGCTTCATTACTAGTCTGAACATGTGCATATATTTCAGTTATATCCTTAAACCTTTCGGTCTTTGGAAGTTGCAAAATTTGTTGCAAAAGCTGTGATCCCACCCCACGTTCACGATAGGGTGCAAGAACTCCTATAGTTAATATATATATTTTGGGTTGCTTATCAGACCCAATCTCTTTACGACAACAATAAGCACCAATCAAAAAGTCGTGATAATAAGCTTGGTGAGAGAGAGAAAGTCATACTATTCGTCTGAAGCAGTCTTCTTCAAGCTTACCTAGTTTTACTAGCCCAGGAGGAGCCTGTAATACTTCTTCATAAAACCTTTCTCCATATTTTATCGGGAAAACAGATAAGTTTAACCTTTTTAGCTGTTCTAGGTTTTTTTCGTGCAAGTTTCCAAAACGAATAGGCAACCAACTGGAATGACTCTCAGAACTCAACATAACGTCAATGGCAATGACAACAACAGTCCATTTATTTTTCAACAATTGTATATATTTGGTTTATTGTTTTTTCTTCTCCTCTTTGGAAGCTTGACGACGAGCAGCTGCGTTCCTGCTCTCTCTTCGTATCTCCTTAATAGTCTGTAAAGCCAAATAACCGTTATGTAACTAACAACCAACATGTGTCAACTTGATGTTCCATAAAAATCAATACTTACCATGATAAAGTTTCCTATCAACAACAAGGGTAAAGCTACAAAGACAAATATGAAGAAACCGCTCTCGTCGAAATAGTTCCTTGTCGCTATCTTCTCCCAGTTATCTGAGCCTAACTTGTTAAAGTTCTTCACGTTGAAAACTGTTATAACTATAATAAAAAAAACTCAGTCGCATATAATAAGACCAATTGAGTTGCCTACCTGAAGTAAAGAAGATAGAATTTTGTATGTTGGTCTTGTTTCTAGTCTTTATCGTAATAAAGGCCAGAATCAAGTGCAAACATATTAACCCTAATATGAATGGTTCACTCCAATCTATAGAACGTACAAAAGTTTTCAAGTAATCTGAAGTTAGATATGGTCGGTCGAGAGCCTTTTCAATATGTAGTCTGCAGCTTTGTAAGAACTGAACAACGGCGTCCATAATGTTTCCCAAATAATGAAATTGAGTTTGACTAGAGTTGGGTTTTTATCTTCCAGTTTTGGTTTGGCTGGACACTCTCGTCTTGATATCGGTATTCCAAAGAATTGTGCTCTAGTTGAACAACTTTCTACATATTTTTTCTTATCTAAAAGTGCAAAAAATAGTTTTCATAAACAACAGAGTTACTCTTTTAACCAACTGAGAAGTTTTGGTAGTCTTCATCATAGAGACAATATTTCAACAATAAGAAACTTCTCCTGGAAAATGAGTGCAAAGCAAGATTACAAGCATTCTTATGATTATGATCTTATTGTGATAGGAGCAGGATCTGGCGGTGTCAGAGCTGCAAGAATAGCTGGAACTCATGGCGCTAAAGTTGCAGTGGTTGAAAAGGCAGCGTTAGGTGGTACTTGTGTTAACGTGGGTTGCATTCCGAAAAAACTTTTTATATATAGCAGTCACTTTAGTCATGATTTTGAAGATTCGAAAGCTTATGGTTGGGATGTCGAAGTAAAGAACTTTCACTGGAAAAGATTGGTAGAAAACAAGGACAAGGTAAGCACATCACTAGTATATGCTTATATTGTGTGTTAAATATTCAATATATTGTTATTATTATTATTATGTTTAGGAGATTCACAGGCTTAATGGTGTGTATGAAAAGCTATTGACCAATGCCGAAGTTGAAATCATCAGAGGTCACGCTTATCTATGTGATGCACATACTGTTCAAGTCAATGAAAGGCGTTATACTTGTCAGTATCTTTTGATAGCTGCAGGAAGTTGGCCTACTATTCCAGATATTCCTGGGAAAGAACATGCTATTACGTCGAATGAGTGCTTTTATCTCGAAAAGTTACCTGAAAAGATCATTATTGTGGGAGGTGGATATATTGCTGTAGAATTTGCTGGTATTTTTCACAGTTTGGGTGTTTCGGTAACTCAACTATATCGAGGACCGTTGTTTTTAAGAGGCTTTGATGAGGATGTAAGAGAATTTCTAGCGCATCAAATGAAATTGGATGGTATAGACCTTCGCTTTCAAGTAAATATCACTCGAATAGACAAACAATTAGATGGTACTTTGATTTGTACTTTAACTGATGGAAATGTCGTTAGAGGAGACAAAGTTATGTTTGCTACTGGAAGACATCCACGACTAGACGACCTTGGAATAGAAAACACGGGAGTCCATTTGGGTAAGAAGAACGAAATTTTGGTGGATGAATATAGCAAGACCAATATAGACAATATTTATGCTATTGGCGATATTACGAATCGAATTCAGTTGACTCCAGTAGCTATCGCTGAAGGTCATTGCTTTGCAGATACTATTTTTGGGAACAATCCTCGCCGTCCTTCACATGAAAATGTCCCTACTGCTGTATTTTCGAATCCTTGTATAGGAACTGTGGGTTTAACAGAGGAAGAAGCTCGTGAAAAGTATGATGACCAAGTTGATATTTATAAGACCAGCTTTCGTCCCTTAAAACACACATTGACTCTCAGAGAAGAGAAGACCCTTTACAAGTTGATTGTTCATCGAGAAACGAGAAAGGTTATTGGAGCTCATCTTGTATCACCAGAAGCTGCAGAATTAGCTCAGCTGTTGGGTGTTTGTGTTCAAGCTGGGGCTACAAAGGAACATTTTGATGCCACTATTGGAGTTCATCCGACCTCTGCGGAAGAATTGGTAACCATGCGAGTAAAGGAACCTGAAAAAGCTACCAAAAATAGAAATGCTCTATAAGATAAATGAATTTTATTGATTGATGAAGGATTGTCATTCATGAAAGCTTCAGAATGGATTCAGTTAGTGGAAAGGCTAGTAAAGGAAGATAAGAATGTTATAAATAAACCTGTCAAGTTGTTTGGAAGCTGTTTAGTGAGTTTAAATAGGGACTATTATCTTGTATTACTCTCTCAAGTAAGTGAACTTGAAAGCTATTCTTCTAAAGTTTATAGCTCTTACTATAGAACGTTTGCTATTTGCTTGGCCACAAACAAGACTCGTTTCCTAGAGCTGTTGAAGTGCAATGGAGTAAATCTTTGAGTTTTGAAGCAACTGCTATACGTCTTCACCCAAACGGCAACCTGGGTGCACTTGTAGGTGAACGTGGTGTTGCGTGTTTTTCCATTGATATTTCCAGCTTAAGGTGGAAGCTTTTCCATCCAAAAGTTGTCATTGATGTTGTAGAAATAGGAAGAAGCCAGTCTTGCGGTGGAGTTTTTGACTTACGTTCAGATCTTATCGTGAAGGACGTCTGTTGGCATCCTTCTAGTACCAGTCACTTATGTTTACTAACTTCAGACAATACGCTTTGGTTTTGGAATGTGTTGAGTGATGTTGAGGAAGAAGAACAACGCCTTTCTATCAAACTGCCAGACAGCTCCAACGTAGTTTCTTTTTGCTTTGGAATTGGACCAGGCTGGGAGTTTTTTACTGCTTATGTAACGAGTTCAAAGGGAGAAATCTATTATTTATGTCCAGTGTATCCTTTTGGTTGTTACATACCTTTGCAACTTCTGAACTCGTTGCGTCAACATGTTGAAGCTCGATATAATTTCAGTTTCGAAGGAAAAGGTCCAACATCACAGAAACTGACGTTCTCTACTAGAGAAAACAAGTCGATTGATTCTTGGACGAAACATAGTTTTGACTCCAAAGGTCTCGGAACAAGTGACAACACTATTTGGATGGAAAGTACAAGGCTGCAACATTTGTTTTTAGAGGAATGCTGGATGGCCTGTGAGATGAATGATAATATTAAAACTCAAAGAGATCATAGAAACTCTTCATTAAGCCTTTCTCTTGGAAGGACTATCAGTCGATGGGAGCCTAGTATTCAAGGTCCTATTGTTATCCAAAAAGATAACAAGAGCTCATTTTATAAAGGAGAAGATTATTGTTTGTGTATGTTGGAGTCAAAAGGTCCTTTTCCTATTCTTATTCATACTTCCAGTTCTGGTTATGTTCGCATTTATATACAATTAGAACAATTGGAGCCATTGTTCACCATCTCCCATAATATTTCAAAAGAAAAGGATGGAGATATACAATTGTCGGAAAATTCTCTACGGTTTGTGTTGTTCGAAAACATTGAGCTTTTCTCTAGTGCCAAGAAGGAATCCTATTGCCCATTTGTGTTTCAGGATTTCGGTGAATCAGTTTGGTATCATAACAAGTGGTTTTCTAATGATTTGAAACAACATGGATCCATGTATTTCATTGGAACCGAATCTCAGTTGTTTCTATTAAGAATTCCGTGGCTGCATCTTACTTCTGAAGAATGGATTTCTGGTTTGGAACTGGCAACAAGTAAAATACATTTACTAGCCACCACTCCAAATACGATGGAGAACGATTCATCGACAGAGTTGTACAATTTTGTAAGAGGCTTGACATTTTTTATAGAAACAGAATGTCTTGGTGTCATTGTCCATTTTGGAAATGATCATATGATATGGATTCCTCTAGTGCATTTTCCTCTCAAGTCGAGACCTTTGGATCAATGGAATTCTATGGCTTCAGAATTGGATGAAATGTTGAAACAGGAAGATGAGAATACAATTTATTCACAACGACCCTTAGAAAAGCGTTTTGAAGAATTGTTCCAAGTCATTGCAAAGCCTCCACGTTATGCAATGGATAAAAAGTTGGATAGCGTAGAGTTGGAGACTGGACTTCGATTTTTACAAGATGCAGTCACAAAGTATAGAGAAGAATACATCAGCAACTTTGAAAAATTATCTCTTATTCTTTCGGATGCTTTGGAGAAGATACCAAAAGGTCTAGAAAAAGTAGAGAGAAAGTTGGAAAATGTGCAAGCATTGTTAAAGGAGAGTCAAATGCAGCTTGCGAACTTGGAGAATAAATTGACACTTTCTAAACGAATTTCCAAAAGCTTGTTGGAAAGGGCACAAACTATACGAGAGGCATTAATAGAAGGAAGAGGAAGATTGTCCAAAGCTGAACTAGCATGGAAGGAAAGACTTTCTGGACAGTAAGTAATATTTTGAAAAGCACATGAATTTCTAAAATGAAGAATATCACTCTTTTTTAGATGGAAGGAATTATCTCACTATCAACATTATGTGGAAAACTTGAAAAAGTCGGTTGAAAATGCTTCTCAAAGTCTCGTAAAGGAACCTTCAGAGAAGCTCTGCTACTTTAAAAAGGAAGAACTTGAAAATATCTACCAATCATTGAATGAACATACCATTGTTCTTGACAAGTTATTTTCCATGAGCACTAAACTTGAACAAGCATCTATGATGAAAGATAATAACTACAATAAATGAGAGTAATTATTCGAACAAGGAAAAGCTTTAAACTTTTTAATGTACAAAATGAAAAAGCAAACAGAAGCAATCTAAAGAAATGATAACACGGTTTATAGTTATTTGCGTTGGCCTTTCACTAGAAAAATTCTCATATATATATATATATATATATATTTAATTATGTTTATATACTTAAGAAGCGCGATGTTTTCTTGCTCTCGAACTATCCAAACGAAAATAACTACGAAGGTTGAGAAACCAACTTTGTTGTGGACCTTCTGAAGCTTCCTTGTCTCTCTCATCTTCTTGCTGTGTATGTTCTTCACCAACGTTATATTTTCTTCTCAGTCTTCCAGACATGGGTCTGTGCAAGCCATCTGCTGAAGACTCTCTATCAGATTCGGGATGTTTTTCTTGACTGGACTGTATTCTTGGTGCAACTCGAACATTTTGCCTTTCCCCAGAAACAACATAAGGGACCTTTGTTTCTTCACTAGCAGCATCTTGATTCTCTTCTGGAGCTTCGGTTGATGTTGTTGCTTCCTTTCTTGAAGACACAATTTCCAACTGCCGATAAAAGACTCGTTCCAGGCTCGGTTCCGAAGATGCAAGTACTAAACGTAGTGACTCCTCATCTCCCCAACCCAACGCAACGAGACTTTGAAGAATGACAGGATCAGGCTCTATAATTGCCTGGCTATACAACTCACCAGTAGCAGAGTTCAACAAGTCCTCAGAATCTACCTCAGGATACTTTGGAGGTTCATGTGCAAGAAACCACGGGTGTCTCTGAATAGCCTCCACAGTTATTCTTTTTTCAGGTTCAACCGTCAACATCGCTCTTAATAAATTCTGACATTCCTCTGGAATCTCTGATGGCATATGATAGAGGCCTGTTCGTACCTTGTTCAATAATCTTTGGATATTATCATCATCAAATGGTAGTCTCCCAGTAAGCAATGCGTATAAAATAACACCACAACTCCAAACATCGGACTTGAATCCATTATACATATCACCCATAACAATTTCTGGTGAAGCATAATGTGGTGATCCACACGAGGTTTCCAAAAGGGAACCAGGAGGGATAAGTGACGCCATTCCGAAGTCGGCAATTTTAATATCGTTGTTTTTGTCCAAAAGGAGGTTTTCAGGCTTCAAGTCGCGATGACTAAAAGTAATCATAGTGTTCAGTACAAGTTGCATTGTTATGAGAAATCGTTCAAAGCTCACCAGATAAGCCTTCTGTGACAGTAATCCAAACCACTGATGATTTGTTGGAAAAAACGCAAGGCTTCTTGTGGTTCTAGTTTCCCTCTTTCCACTAAATAATCAAACAGTTCTCCACCTTCTGCATATTCTATGACTAGGAAAAGATGGCTAGTAGTCTCAAATACATCGATGAGCCTTAAAACATGTGGGTGTTCTACCAACTTCATAACGGCAATTTCGCGCTGTACCTTTCTACGAAGATTGGGCTTTGAGTCTAAAAAATCCTTTCTTACAATTTTTACTGCAACCAGCTCATTTTGTTCCGTATTAAACGCCAACTTTACTTTCCCTATAGTACTAAATAAAAAGGAGCCACAACTTGGACAAGTTTACTTACCTGTTGAACCAGTACCCAAAGTTTTCCCAAGTATATAAGGACCTACTCGTGGTTTACTTTCGTTGAATTCGTTTAGCAACTCTGTAGCTGCGTTTTCTACTTGTGCCGCCATATTTCCAAAGATCAACTTTACTCGATCTTCCCCTTAAGTGGTGGATCGACAATATGCAAATTGAAATTGAATATCGATCGTAACAAAGATTTCTATATATATAAAAATAAATATATATATATATAAAATACCGTGTTGTTACTCATCAGAGTCATCTTCATCAAAGTCATATTTTGAAGTTCGTTCGATTCCTTGATATAAAGTGGCTATTCTTGAGGACTTTCTAGTATTTGTGACAGATCTTTTGTTCCTGGTTAAAGTCGAAGTTGCGCTACTTTCTTCTTGGGACTCTGTTCTTCCGAAAGTTTCATTTTTCCTTTTCTTCTGATTAATTGTTTTGCTTTTCTTGCTATTCAATGATGCTTTCGAATGGGAAGCTTGTTTCGATACAACAGTTTCTTTGGCACCAACTTTGCCATTATTATTATCTTCTTTTTCTTCTTCAGAGTCGTCTATAAACATACGAACAAATGAGGAACTGGAATAATTAGAAGCATCTTTTTCCGGATGTATTATTGGAGACCGCTGCTGTTCAGGATTAAGATTGCTTTCATCCATTGCCTTTCTATCACATTCAGCATTTCTATCCTCGAGAAGTTCTCGACAAATTGATTTGATATCCTCATCATTCAACTCTTTCAACGGATCCTTCTTTGCAAGAATAGTCTTCTATCCATTATTTAAGAAAAACAAATGTTGCCATTTCTTGAGTTTTCATTCAATACCTTGACATTGGTTAAATAGCTCTCCACAAAATCAGGAATGGCTAAAGTCTCCGACTTGAAAACAAACTTTTCTAGTGCTGAGTTGAGGTCAACTATTGGTAGTATATGAAGACTGGAACTGGGATCCAGACTTTGCTGTATAAGTCCCAGCACACTCAATTCATCTGACAAGTCCAGTTTGGGATCTATTCGTTCCAAAGCAACGCTTCGGCTCATATCTTTGTTCTTCCTAATGCTTTTCCGTTGAAATTTCAGAATTTCAGAACTATTTGCAACTTTTCCAACAAAATGTTGTCCAAATCGTTGTGGACTAATACTTGTATGAAGACTAGTATATTCTACACGTAGTCTAACAAGAGGTTGCTTTAGCCTAGGATCGATGGTCATATCATCATTCCAATCTTTTAAAGCAAAATAAAAATCTGCTTCTGCCTTGGTCAACAACTTATCCACATACTTGACAAGAAAGTCTTCAAGTTGATCCTTGTTAGCATTTTCAAGGTTCTTTTCTTCCTCAAGTCGAATATGCTTCATGACAAATGGACGAACTGTCCTTAGTCGAATAGGAGTCCATTTGAATTGTTCTCGAAATAGTTCCAGAATAGCTACATGTTTAGGAACAGCTTCTCCTTCAATAAGGGATGTGGCAATCTATCCAAAAAGCATTCTTTAGTAAGCTTATAGAATATATATGCATACAATCAATCTGTATTTCACATACACTTGAACCTGGTTGTGTAATATAAGGTTTGGAACCCTGCAGTACAATCTTACATTCATGTTCATGACCCCAGACAACCAAGTCGAGAAATGAAGGAAACAATTCCTCGAAAACTATATTACTTCCTCCTTTTTGACCTCGATTTTGGTGAAAGACAAACATATTGAACCAATTGGAAAGATCAGATACTTGAGGCCTAAGCCAAGTAACTTTGCCTTCATCATGCCATGTAGCATAAAGTCTTTCATCTCTAATGTTTCCCAAACCATATAAAGCAAGTTTGGTAACTCCTTTCTGTATTAAAAGAGGAAGTAGTTGAATCGACTGGGCATCTTTTACCTACATCATCTCTTTTATCTAAAGAACCGTTTGCTTTCCAATTCAACGCTACCTTGCCAAAATAATTGATCAAGTTTGCCAGTTGAAGAATATCCAAAGCAGAAAACTGCTCTCCTGAACCTCCTACTGGGTCATCATGATTTCCGTGAATGGTAAATATAGGTAGTGAGACACTATGATAAGGATCCATAAAGTTTACAGAATAAGGTGAATCTAAAACCTCGGTTGCCACAGACAAAAAATCAAACGCCACTGGTTTCTCACCAAGACAATAGTCACGCAATATTCTCATGGTTCGTACAAGACAAGACCTGGAAGGTTTATTTTCATGAAATAGATCTCCACCCAGTAACACCATATCTACTTCGTGACGTCTAGCTAACGAAAGAATCTCTTCAAACGTATGAAAACTGTCATCACCTCGTATAGGATGTCTTTCACAATATCCCAAATGAATATCAGTAGCTACTAATATTTTCAAGATATTTTCTGGAACAAAGTCTGCATCGGTTTCTTCCAAACTGCTCATCAAAGAAAAAAAAATGGAAAAGGCGCACTTCTACATCCAATAAAAACTGTTTTAAGAATTTTGTTTTGTTTCATATGAATAGAAAATAGTAAACTATATTCATGTTTCATAAAAAGGCGCTATTTATTTCTCTCGAATCTTTCAAGGCAACAAAAATATGGAGCAGCTGCAATATTTCCTTTTGAAAACAACGTACTACACAGTTCATCCACTTTTTACTGAAACTAGATGGAGAAGTTAGAAACTGTTCAAAAACAACATAAAATTTTCTGTTCTGACCTTTTCAAACCCGATATATTTGGCTTGCTCACGGAAACATCTTCTACAAAGGTTCAAACCGTATTTTCTTATAAGTCCAGATCTGGCAAAACAGACTCGACATTGACGACATCCTTTTCCATAATTTCGAGGATGACTATACCAGATATTCGTGTGACCCATACTCTTCCTTCTTCAACAAGCTTTCAAAGTGTATGACACTTGGCGACGTCGATCGATACAAACAACACCCCCACAAAGAACAACAATGGTAAATGATAACCATGATGAATAATAGAACGAGTCTGGTTAGTTTGCTATGCAAAACAATAGGAAAGACAAGAAGTTATTGCAGTAGAAACTATCCATTAAAAGGGAATGGAGCATTTTTTGAAAGTTCTTCTTTACAACAGGAGAACAGGACAGTTCAAGATGACTTGACAGTACTTTCACAAGGCAACAAAATACGCAATATTGGAATAATTGCTCACGTAGATGCTGGCAAAACAACTACAACAGAAAGGATGCTCTTCTATTCTGGGAAAATATCCACTGTGGGAGGCACGTTTACCTTGACTTTTGGTTTGTAAGAGCAACTGACAGTGCTCAATAGATGTGGACCACGGAGATACAGTAATGGATTATTTACAAGAAGAACGAGAAAGAGGAATAACTATCAATGCTGCGGCAATTAGTTTTCAGTGGAAAGGTTACTTTATGAATTTGATTGACACTCCTGGTCATGTGGATTTCACTATGGAAGTTGAACGCTCTCTTCGGGTTTTGGATGGTGCCATTATTGTATTAGATGCAGTTGCTGGTGTCCAGGCTCACACAGAAAATGTTTGGAAGCAAGCCGTTCGTTATCATTTACCTGTTATCGTATTTGTAAACAAGATGGATCGCATAGGTGCCCATTTTGGAAAAGCTTCTCAAAGCTTAAAGAAACTTGAAGCAATTCCTATACACTTGCAGACTCCAATTATTCTGAATAACGAGTTTCAAGGTTTAGTTGATCTTGTACGAATGCATGCAATTACTTATCAAGATGAGTTGGGAAAGGAACTTCTTTCCATTCCTTGGAACCAATGGAACGAAACCATTGAACGACATCCAAATGACTTGAAGCAACTACATGAACAAGTAACTAAAGAAAGAAAGTATTTGTTGGAAACGTTAGCTGACCATGATGATATATTTATGGACATCTATCTACAACATCTTGAACAGCCTAATAAGAACCCGTTGTCAGAGGAAGCTATCCAAAAGGCTATACGCAGAGTTACTTTGCAACGAAAATTGGTACCCGTCTTATGTGGAGCTTCTTTAAGAAATCGAGGTGTACAATGTCTTTTGGATGCAGTCGTATCCTATCTTCCTTCTCCTATGGAAAGACCTTCCATAGTTGGCATTAATCAACAAGGAAAGAGGATAGAAAGAGTTTGTTCTCAAAATGGTCCCTTCCTTGCTTTAGCGTTCAAAGTGACTTTTGACTTGCATCGAGGACCACTTGTGTTTCTAAGAGTGTTTTCAGGTAGAAAACGAGCAAAAACAGTTGTGAAGAACGTAAATCAACAGCAGAATGAAACTCCAAGTAGTTACCTTTTGATATCTGCAGATGATGTTTCCATTCAAGTTCCAGAAATTGTTGCTGGTGGAGTATATGCTGCTGTGGGACTGAAAGAGACTGCTAGTGGAGATACTCTAGTCGATATTCATGATGAAGATGCCTTGCTATTACAAGGTATGCATGTTCCGTCACCAGTTTTCTATGTTTCCGTGGAAGCAGAGTCGACCAGACATGAAAGAGCATTACAAGAAGCATTGAAAATATTGACGAGAGAGGATCCTTCTCTGGCTTTCAGATTGGATGAAAATACTGGTCAGACTGTGCTTGGTGGTCTTGGTGAACTTCATTTGGAAATTGTCAAGCACCGACTAATAAGAGACCTCAAAGTTCCCGCAGTCATTGGTCCTCCAAAAGTAGCATTTCGAGAAACAATTACAGAAAGTGTCACGCATAAATGTATTTACAACAAACATTTTGGAGGTCAACATTTGTATGCAGAGATATGTCTTAGTATGGAACCGTTAGAAAGAGGTCAAGGCAACATGTTTTCTATTGGAAGCAAATTGAGAAAGCAATTGTTATCTGAAGGCTCCTTGAAGGAACATGAAATGGAACAAATACTACAACGGAATAATAACCAGAAAAAGAAATCCAAGAAATCAGGCTCATCATCACATTTAGAACAGTCGATTTTGGAAGTAGTGATGGAAGGTTTTGAAAATTCCCTTACTAGAGGAATATTATCTGCCAAGCAAGTAGTAGATGTTCATGTTACTTTGTTAGAAATGAAGCCTTATTCATCCTCAGAAATGAATGCTCTCACCTCTTTACGTGCTTGTGCCGTACATTCCATTCAAGAAACTTTATTTCAAGCAAAACCTCGTTTATTGGAGCCCGTTATGAGAGTTGTGATTCATTTGCCTAGTCAATATGTTGGAGCCGTTATTGCAGATCTTACTGGTAACATTAGACGCGGTTCTGTAGTTTCTCTTACAAATGAAGAAAATTCATTCTATGAGAATTCAGAGCACTTGAACAAAGTTATCGATGCTCGTGTTCCATTGAGAAGCCTGTTAGGTTACTCTACTGATATTCGAACGATAACTCAAGGAAATGCCTCCTTCACGATGGACTTGTACGGTTATGATTTTCCTTCCCATGAAGCAGAAATGGAGGTATTAAAAGAGGAAGGCTTTATGGGATCTTTATAGTCCAAATCCAGTCATCCAATGCATCCATCATTCCATGTCAAATATTGTCGTCGATAACTTACCATAAAGTCTCAACTACACAAAGAAGGTGTCTCATTCTTCTCCATCTCTTGTAATAGAAACTGGCACATGGAGTTTCCAATGGTTTGTGCAACTTCAACTGCGAGCTGAACTGCCGATAGCCACACTTGTATGGAAAGCTTTCCCGTATGCTGTATTTCACAAAGTTGCGCTGCATGTAAAGGTAATGATACAGTTATGAGACCAACGGCACATTCACTTTCTGTCCTATCAGGATCGACTAGATATTCTTGTTTCGTACTTATAGCAACAGTTACACTTGAAACAACTGAAATTATTTCTATGGAGGCGTCTGCTAGTGCAAGTGATGTTGCCAGAGTCATTGCAGCAAACGCACTTCCATCATCCTCCAATATTACAACATATAGGTCTATCGAACATTTTGGATACTTATCCAGGATTACTATGGGCTCGAAAACTCTAACTAATCTTGTTGATAATAAACGTTCTTCTTCGGAAACTCCTCTACCAACATTTGCCATCCTTGTGCTTTCATAAGAATAGTAACAAAAAGAAGATTTGACAACCTCGCAAGTGATCCTCCCGTTCATAGTATTTTCCACTCCTCCTCTTATTCGTATCGGAGGTCTTGGACCCTGAACAGCCACGATAACCTTTGTCTTACCCAACTCAACGTAACCACTGCCTGCGGCGTCTACTACCGTTCCAGTATTCAATACAAGAGACCTTGGTGCATTATTTGGTCTTGTTCGTTGATATTCTCTTTCTAAAGAATGGATAGGTTCAAAAAAAGGGCCATAACGTTGTGATATCCTCCTTTCCATCTTTATATCGGGTTTGATTACAAAAAAAGATTTTAAATGCGTTTCAAAAATTATTCTTCATTTACTTCAATGCTTCAGTTGTGAAGCTATCCTAAGGATACAGGTGTAAGTATAGTATAACATGAGAGAAAAGTGCATTGAGAAACCATTCAAATCCTTCTGCAATTCCATCTCCCTTAGCTGCAGAAGTTGAAATAATAGTCCAAGTTCGATCCTTGATAGAATCTAAACCTAGTGCCAAGCTGACTTCGGCAGCACTGGCAGCTTCAGGCAGGTCTTGCTTGTTTGCGAATACAGCAATTACTGTATTTTTCAACTCTTCTTCCTTGAAAAACTTGAGACAACCCATCCACCACAATATCAACTCAACTCACTTGAAGAATGGACAGCAGTTCCGTTTTGGCCGTTGAAAATCGCTCTCTATCGTTACTATCTACAACAAAAATAAGCGCTTCTTGTTTCTGATAATAGGAACGCCTTGTAAGTTGACTTTAGCTTATTCCTTTAGACGATTTTGAAAAGTATTACCAATATGGTCGAATAGACGTTTGCCCTCCTAGATCCCATACTTGCATCTTCAAGTTGTTCACTTCAATTTGTTCCATATTAAATCCAATGGCTATGAGTGAAAAGAGAGTTTGTTCAACTTGTTTCGCAAACAAAACACAACTCTAAACTTACTAGGCACTGTTTTGATCATACTACCCTCTTTTATTCGGTCTATTGCGTAACTAGTTGTAAAAACAAAACATCAACAATTTTCGAGTGTATTCTTACACAATAGTGTAGTTTTTCCCGCATTATCAAGTCCAACCATTAAAACTCTCACTTCCTTATTTCCAAACAATCTTTGAAATAGTCTAGAAAAGATATTCCCCATTACCAATTTCAATATCCTAAACTTTTTTAGCAATAAGAACGATTCACAATTATGTCCACAGTCAAACAGTATGAGTGAAAGTCCCAAAGATATGTCTATTGAAGAAAATGTTCCCATGTTGTTGGAAGATACTGCTTCACTTCAAAAAGGCTTGTGGAAGGAGAGACCTTTGGACATTGGTTTGAAACTTCCTTGTCGTTGGCGAGACGGGACTTGGCAAGAGGCTGAAATTTTAGAAAGGAAGCAAGATAGCGTTTCCAGTGAATTTTTATACTATGTACATTATAGCGGCTTTAATAGACGTTTAGACGAGTGGGTGGATAGTGGTAGAATAGATTGGAAAGCTATAGAAGAAGGAAGAGTTCGCTGGAACAAAACTACTTCTAACAAGAAGAAAAAGGATAAAAAACGCAAAAGTTCCGACGATACGGAGAACAGAAAGATAGAACCAGCAAAACTAGAGAATATTACTAAAGTGAAAAATGTTGATAGAATTGTATTGGGAAAGTATATTATGGAGACTTGGTACTATAGTCCTCTTCCTCCTGAATATCATCATTGTTCTACATTATGGGTTTGTGAGTACACACTCAACTTTCTACGCTCGGAAGCTGCACTCAAGCGATATCAACAAAGACACAGCATTCGAACACCTCCAGGCAATGAAATTTATAGAAAGGATAACATTTCAGTATTTGAAATAGATGGGGCTGTACAGAAATTTTATTGTCGAAACTTGAGTTATTTGTCAAAGTTCTTTCTAGATCATAAAACTCTGTACTATGATGTGGACCCATTTTGGTTTTACGTGATGTGTGAAGTGGATGAATATGGATGTCATATCGTAGGTTATTTTAGTAAGGAAAAGGAAAGCGAAGATAATTATAACGTTGCCTGTATCCTAACATTTCCGGCTTATCAACGCAAAGGATATGGAAAATTTCTCATTTCATTTTCTTATGAACTTTCTAAACTAGAACAAAAAGTAGGTAGTCCAGAGAAGCCTTTAAGTGATTTGGGCCTATTGAGTTACCGAAGTTACTGGAGTCAAGTTCTTGTCGATCTATTAAAGAATGAAAAGCAGCCCATTTCCATTCAAGAAATAAGTGAAAGGACGATGATGAAAATGGAAGATATTATTTCTACCTTACAAGTATTGGGACTTATCCAATACTATGAAGGACAACATGTACTCGATCTTCGTCGAATCGATAATATCAAATTTGGTAGTAAGGGACTACAATGCGACTCCTCTTCTATTCGATGGACTCCCAAATTGACAACTTTTATAAATAAGTAGCAATAAATACAACCATACTAAAGTCTCCCTAAGAATTTTTTAAGTCTGCACTTGGCTCTAACTTTCTTTTCTTGTGCTCTTCTATTTCCCCGCTAGTTTGTCTTGGCTCTTCTTTGTCTCTCTTCCGTTTGCTCTTTCTCTTATGAGTTTTCTTCAAGTGGGATGGAATCTTCAAAGGTTGTTCTTGTTGTAGCCACTTAGGCTCCGTCACTTGAAAATTACTAGGTAGAAATGCCCTTTTTAGCAAGTTTTCGTCCAACTGAGCTATAACAGTATTATCTTCTTCATCTGGCCTCTGAGCGATTTCTACAAGGGAACCAACTGGACAACTATAATTTTATCAATACTATTCCTTTTATTCATATTAACCCTACCGTGGCTTTGTAACATTCTTATCTCTTAGTACTCCATCCAGATAGTCATTTCGAAAAGTTACCGAAAGTGGACTATTCCACAAGTCTGATAGCAAAGAACCCCATAAGTTGTCTTCCATTCTGATGTCCAATCGAAAATTGACTCGAATTGATTGGAGATGGAAACTTGGTCGGTGTTATTGGCAGATGTAGACAAGAGGGATAAAATCTACAGAACTATTCAGTATCTTTGTAAGTTATATTGTGGTTTACCTTATGGAAGTGCAGAAACTAAGTTAGGTGTACGAAAGTTGGCAAAAGTTCTTTCTTCTGCAAGACAAGTCTTACGCCTTGGCAAATCTTTTCTAGTGTGGAACAAAATTCGTAGTCAACCCAAGATGGTTGACCCAATTTCCTTCTCTTTGATAAGGCTGAGTGACTTTTCATTTATGCTTTATTTTTTGTACGATAATATTGCCTGGTTATTTCGCTCTGGGTTGATTGTTGGAAAGGAAAAAGGACCTCGACGAAAAGCTACCGAATTTTACTTGAGTGGTGCAGCTTTCAATCTTTTAGAAAATACAAGACAGCTTTTGAAAATTGTATTTATGGAGCGTCATTATTCTTCAAGTGAACACAGTCAGAATGAAATGATGGGAGAACAGCATTTCTCAGCACAGATGAAGCATGATAGGATATGGAAACAGCGACTATATTTGACAATATGTATATGTATCCGTCTCATTCTGGATATTATTGTGGCATTGAATATTCTTCGAGATGACTCCAAAGATACTATCTTTAATGGCATTTGTGGTTCCTTATCTTCCATCATTGCCTTTTATATATCATGGCCAGTGAAGAAAAGCATTTCATCGGAATAAAAGAAAATCATTGACTGATTGATGTATTTATTAACCTTTCTAAACGTGGGTACACAGACAGTATTGGAAAAGAGACCACTTTTATTAATAGATAAGAGTTTTTATAGTCATCCGTTGAGGAAAGCACTCTTCAAAGTTTACGAGTGCTCTACGACGTGGAACTCAATCAACAATATACACAAACAACGACCGCCGCCTTTTTTACCCAGACAAGCGAGTTTCGAAGTCTTCTGTGTTGACCAAGAAACTATTCAAACTGTCAAAGAGAAATGGGACTTTTTCAAGTTGGTTTCTTCTGTTGTGAAGCTGAAACCTAGCGGAAATAACTTTGTTGGAAGTTGCCCTTTTCACAACGACGAAAACCCTTCCTTTTCCATCAATAACGAGAAAAAACTTTTTCATTGTTTTGCTTGCGGAGCCGCTGGTGACATCATATCCTTTGTGATGCGCTTGGAGAATCTCACTTTTACAGATGCTGTGAAGAAACTTCAAAACGATGCAGTGAAAAATGATTCTATCCATCAGGACAATGATAGGAAAGTTGCTGCACAAAGAAAGGAGTCAAAAAAGACTTGTACCGTGCCTAAACGGAAAAGAAACTCTGCTCTTCGCAAGATTAAAGACGCTTTATCGAGTGCGTCGGATTTCTATCATCAGTACCTGAGAAAAGACACAGAAAGAGTTTTAGAAGCTCGAATGTATTTATTAGAGAGGGGCTTTTCAGAGTCGCTTATCCATCAGTTCCAAATAGGTTATGCACCTCTTGGCTCAAGTGAGCTGGTTAGTTATTTGTTGAGCAAAGGATTTTCTTCCGATGTCATTTTGGAGTCAGGCTTAGGAGTTGCTAGCAAATATGGAACAGGTTTATTTGATACGTTTCGAGACCGCATCGTGGTTCCTTTACGAGACCATGAAGGTCAAGTCATTGCCTTTGGTGGCCGTGTGTTTCCTTATAAAGGCAATGAAGAGGGTCAGAAACCTACTTTTGGACCTAAATATCTCAATTCTTCTGAGACTCGTGTGTTTAAAAAGAGTGAAGTTTTGTTTGGTGCCGAATATATATTTCAACAGGAAGAGAAACCTGAACAAGTGGTCATTGTGGAAGGATATTTTGATGTTCTTACTATGCATCAAGCAGGCATTTGGTATGCAACAGCTTCTTTAGGAACAGCTTTAAGTTTGCGTCAAATAGAAATTGCAGCAAAACTTTCCAAAACGAAAAAGGTAGTTTTGAACTTTGATAATGATATTGCTGGTCATACGGCTGCATGTCGTACTGCCGATCATTTATTAGAAGCTGCCAGTAGAAGAGGCATTCAATTGTTTATTGCTTTACTTCCCGAAGGTGTGAAGGATGCCGATGAGTTTATTCGTTTATATAGTGCAACAGATTATATTCAAAGGGTATTGAAGAATGCCATACCTTTGGTAGAATGGCGAGCCAAAATCACTCTACAAGATTATGATGGTAGTATCGAGAGCCGAACTCGGTGTATAGAGATATTAGGAAATCTGTTTTCCAAGATTGGAACTGTTTCGTATCGATCTCATTTGGCGCATTACTTTGCAGAACAAATTACTCAACATGTTGAAGATCCCAATTTGGTTGTTTTTACAGAAGACCAAATTCTTCGCATAGTGAGAAACTTACGAGCAAGACGTCCTTGTGTCAAACATGAAAGTTCAAAAGGTTTGTTTAGAACAGATACGATAGAAGAAGACTCCTCCCAAGTATTAGTTCCCTTTAGCTCATCCTATGATGATTCTTCTGGCATTCGATTTGTCGAAGAGTTTTTTTTACGCATCATGATTCATTTTGCTTCTGTTCGTCAACGCTGTACGGAAGTGGTATACAAAGGTCGATTTCGTTTCTCTGATTCCAGTCTTTGGGACCTTTGGAAGTGGTTGGCTCGTAATGGATTGGAAACATATTCTCAATTGAATGCAGAAAAGTTGAGTATTGCTTTGGAAGCTGAAGAAGCAGAGTTGTATCAACGACATGCCCATTTATTTTCAGTAGATGAGCATCTTCTATTAGAAGTGATGGATCCAGAGGAAGCAGTCGAATCCTCAGTAAGCTAGTGTATTTATTCAACAATTCATTTATGTCTTCTTAGGTTGTATATATGCAACGTTTGGAACGAGAGGATAGATGTAAGCGGTTATTGACTCGATGGAAGGAAATAGGAGATGAAATGAATAACAACAACAACAACAACAATAATAATAATACGAATAATAGAAAGAATAGATTAGAAATATGTAAAAGTGAACAAGAAAGTATTATGGAGGCGGTAAAGGCAGAGCGTGAGGCTCTTAAAGAATTGAAAGACATGAGACGAAATTGGATTCAACAAATATTGAATAATGCCAAGGCTTGTAGGAAACAAACATGAGGGGCCTTTTCCGTCGCTTCAAGGACGCTTTGATTTTCTTATTTTTTGGGAATTGGTTTGAGGTATCACTGATCACTCTTTAGTATGCAAATATTTGTGAAAACGTTGACTGGAAAAACCATAACATTGGAAGTTGAACCTTCTGATACAATCGAAAATGTGAAATCCAAGATTCAAGATAAAGAAGGTATTCCTCCAGATCAACAGAGACTTATTTTTGCCGGAAAGCAGTTGGAAGACGGAAGAACGCTTTCTGATTATAATATCCAGAAAGAGTCTACTTTACATTTGGTTTTGAGGTTAAGAGGAGGTATTATAGAGCCAACCTTGGCAGCTTTGGCGAGGAAGTATAACTGTGATAAAATGATATGTCGCAAGTAAGCTGTTTGTAGTTTTCACTTGTCACCAGCTCACTTGTAAAACAATAGATGTTATGCGAGATTACCGGCAAGAGCTCACAACTGCCGCAAGAAGAAGTGCGGTCATACCAACGAACTTCGTGTGAAGAAGAAGTTGAAATAAAGGATTTCTTTTTTATCTGCCAATATTTTCTTTCTTTGAAGAGATAAAGTATGCGGTCAAGAAAAGATAACATGGCTAGGTTGGAATGAATGAGTCCTCTGAAAAAGTATCTAGTCCATATGTTGTAACCAAATAGTTTAGAATACTTGTGAATTTGTGTCACAAACTGCCAAGTTTTAAAAACTTTGAATATTTTAAAGTATGAAAAGTTTACAGTTGGTTGAGTAAAACTGGAGTTGTTAACCACAAGAAAAAGTTGCAAAGGATCTCAGCAAGTTTTGTTCTCAACTTGTCCTTATTGTTTTGAAATAAATAGTTGATAGGGGAACTTTTCGTCAATCTAGAAAAACTAAGACTTTTAAAGTGTGTAAAGTTAATGGAACGACAATAAAATATCTCTCGAGTCATACTATCAAGACCTTTTACAAAAACTCCATTGCCTACATTGAATATAAGAAATTCTTCCGTCTTATTCAATGTCGTCAACTCGTTGGCTAACTTTATTTTCTCTTGTTTTTATTTTCCTTTTATACATTCAGACTAGCATCGCTTTTGAGTTTTATTTAAATAAAAATGCAAAGCTATGCTTCACAGAACAGCTAACTTCCAATACCAAAGTAAGGAAAAGTTTGGTTTGGTCTTATTCTTTAGTTGACCACGTATAGGTGAGTGGTGAGTATGCGGTTGCTGGTAGCGAGGGAACGATGAGTGTAGATCTTACAGTAAGTATATTCGCCTTTTTTATTCTTCTTGAACAAGTTGTATGACTTGTCCAGGTCATAGGTCCTGACCGACGTGACTACTTTTCCAAATTGGGTATTGAGTCAGGACGCTTTACTTTCAAAACTCCAAAACATCCTATTTTGAAGCCTGAAGATGCGAAATATGCCGCTGACGAACATTTTCCTCCAGCTGTTTATCATTTCTGCTTTAGTGCTCGTTCATTGCCAGAAAATATCGAAGCCAATGCCCATCAACCTCAAGTTGTGACAAGAAGAAGAGTCTCTTTGAAGGTGGATGTGTTGCCAACAGAAAGAGATTATGCAAGGTTAGCCAAGGAAGAGCATTTGAACTCTTTGGAAGTTGCTTTAAGGAGAATTGAAGACGAAATACGACAGTTTTCCAATGAACTTGATATTTTAAGTTCTCGAGAACAGACCATGAGAAATATCAATGAAATAACCAATTCAAGAGTAACTTGGTTGGGTATCTTTAATGTTTTAGTAATGATAGCTGCAGGTATATATGAAATGTATCATATGAAGAATTACTTCCGACATAAGAAGCTGATATAATAACGATAACCAATAAAGGACTTGAATACAAGTTAGCCAACATTTATCATTTCTTTTCATAGTGTTTCCTATAAAAGTACTAAACCCAACTCTGAAGGAGACAAAGTCCAGCATCGCCAATTGTATAAATAATAATGTAGAAAACCATCGCCAGGATGAAATTTTAGTTGTTTAAAAAAAGTTTCATTTTCCATCAAATCTAAAGCGTTGAATACATCGAAGCCTTCTTGTTTTGCTAATATCAACGCATTCTGCATCAGAGACTCTAAAGGTACACTTGTTGCAACATTATAAAATGAATAAGCTGCTCTTAAACTCTTATATTTCTCATGTTTAATAACAGTCGAAGGTAACTCATAGAAACTTATCAAATCGGTCACCATACCATTTTCATTCTTTAAAATATAGCTATAGATGACATTCTTCCTCGGTAGGAACCAATGAGAAAATTCTTCCAATGAAAATGAAATAGAAAACTTGAATCTTTTCAAATATTGTTCAAGCAAGTCACGTGCAGAAGATACATGTTGCAAACTTAAAGGTTCCAATCCTACAATGGTAATGTCTTCAGGAAGCGCATACAATTTGATAGTTCGACTAAGTGTCATTCGAGGTCCTAAACGAGAGAATCCAACTTGTATCAACTTTTTCGGATTCAAAGAACGATGATAATAGCGACAACGAGCAACTGGACGAGGAAGAACTACACCAGCTGTATAAACTGCTTGAAATATACCGCTTCGATTGACTCTTCTCGTAATTTCTTTGATTAAAACTGGTGCTAGTCGTTTGTTTCTCAACTTTTTATGAATACAAAGAAAGTTGATTTCTACCACTTGTAATTGTTGTCCCTTAATATATATCATCGAAGGAATGGCACTAATAAAAGCCACAAGGCGTTTACTAGAAACTGTTCGTACACCAACGTGCCAATCTTTTCTCCAACCAGGCGCTCTTAAAGCCCAATAAAGAAAAGAACCACTATAATCAAAACGAAACATGGCATCCTCATCTTCCACATAATTTGCATTCAAAAGTTGATACAGTTCTTCCAATTCCTCCTGATTCTCAATATCACACTCTGTCCACTCAAATTGTGGCAATAATGTATAGGGTTGCTTACGAATGTCCTCAGGATCCTTGTTAGGTTCAATAGGGCCTTCATCTAAAGCAATGGTCTGTTCTTCCAACTGAGGAACTGGCTGAGTACTCCAAAACTTATGTATACTACCGGTGGATAACTCTTCTCTGTCAGGAGACTGGATTGTAAGTTGACGAATAAGTTGAGTAATCTCAGGGCTTGACATATTGGAGTTTTGGCGATCGGCGTTATTATTATTTTGTTTTTGTATGTTGTCCTGTTCCATCACTATCAATAAGAATAATATACGCACAATAATTTCTCAAAATTGGAAAATGTGGATTGAAAAGCCAAAGTTTGATACTCGTCAATATCGAGCATTGTGTCTAAACAACGAGTTGCGTGTTTTGTTGATATCCGATGCTGAAAGTGAAAAGGCAGCGGCTGCTTTAAATGTATCCGTCGGTTACTTTTCAGATCCTCCACAAATCCCAGGCTTAGCACACTTACTGGAGCACTTATTATTTCTTGGTTCAGAGAAGTATCCAGATGAAAGTGAATATCATCTTTACTTATCACAGCATGGTGGAACTTGTAACGCTTTTACAGCTGAAGAAAATACTTGTTTTCATTTTGACGTAACTGACCAAAGGTTATCCGGAGCACTGGATCGTTTTGCACAGTTCTTTATTGCTCCTCTTTTAAAAGAAGAGGTTTATGAAAGAGAAGTTAGAGCAGTTGACTCGGAACACTACAAAAATATATTGAATGACTCTAGACGTTTTTTTCAAGTCTTCAAATGCGTTGCAGCAGAACCGAGACATCCCTTGGCCAAGTTTGGCACGGGAAATCATGAAACTCTCTACAAGAAACCACGAACTGAACAAGTTGATGTTGTCAAGTGCTTGAAAGAATTCCACTCGACTTTTTATTCTTCTAATCTCATGACTTTGTGTGTACTGAGCAGACAAAGTTTGGACAATTTGGAACAGTTGGTCGTGCCCTTATTTTCTTCCGTACCTAATCGTTCGGTTCTTGCCCCGTATACTTCCTATCAAGACTTGAGTGTATTTAAAAAGGATGGATTGGGCAGTGTCTGTAAATTAGTTCCCGTTCAAGATCGACGAACTTTGCAAATAAGTTGGCCGTTTCCAGAACTTTTTTCGAAATATGAGAAGAAACCAGTAAGAATTGTTTTTGGATGAAAAATGTATAGACTCATTGCTTTTAGGAACATTATTTGTCTCATTTACTAGGTCATGAAAGTAAAGGCAGTTTATACTATTTGTTAAAAGAGAAAGGTTGGATAAACAACTTGAGTTGTGGTCCAGATTTGATGTTACAAACTTTTTCAACCTTTGGAATGACAATAGAACTTACCGAAATGGGTTTAGTTCATGTAGAAGACATTTTATATTATACATATGAATATGTGGATTGTATTCGAAATAGCAATTTTCCAAGCCATATTTTTGAGGAATCTCAAAAGCTTGAAGAGCTTCGGTTTCATTTTCAAGTAATATTATTTGACCACACCATCATTGATTTTCATTGACATTGTAATAGGAAAGATCCGAGCCTCTCAATGAAGTGGTTAAAAATGCTTTAAATATGCAATACTATCCTTTGTCCAAAATATTAAGTGGTCCTTACTTGATTCATTCATTTGATGCCAACTTGATACTTTCTTTGTTGGAAGATATGGTTCCTTCCAAAATGTGTGTTATGCTATCCTCAAAGACTTTTGAAGGCTTGTTGGATGAAAGAGAACCTTGGTATGGAACATATTATGGTAAATTTCCACTTTCTGGTGATCTATTGTTTCAATTATCATCAGTGAGGAAGAACGAAGAAGAAGACAATTTATATTTGCCATCACCGAATCCTTTTATTCCTGGCGACTTTTCTCTCAAGTGTCAACCAGGTATTCCATCAGAAAGCCAGTCTGATAAGAAGGACTTTGTTGAAAATGGACCAAAGCAGATTCGAAAGGATGCTATTTGGACCATTCATCATCAGTTGGATGATAGATTCCAAAGGCCTAAAGTACACTTGTACTTTTTTATACATTCTGCATATTTTCACTTTTCTCCTCGCCAAGCATTATTCTCAAAACTGTATTGTTTATTTTTAGAAGATATTTTAAATGAATATGGTTACTATGCACAACTTGCTGGAATTCATTATCAATTGGACATTACAAATGAAGGGTTGATATTGTTTGTTGGAGGATATAACGATCGAATTTCCAACTTTGTGTTACAAATTTTTGAAGAAATGGTACATTTTCGATGGAAACGTGAACACTGGCATATCAAAAAAGATTTATTAAAGAGACAGCTGGAAAATTCTTTGAAAAGAGAGCCATTTCACCTTGCCTTGCAGGAGTGGAAGTGTTTGGTCATTGAATCACAATTGCACTTGGATGATCTTTTGGAAAGTGTTGATTTAGCATCTGAAAATGATATCGACAGTTTTCATGCAAAAATGTTTGAACAAGTCCATTTAGAAGCATTGATGTATGGCAATATTTTACAAGAAGAGGCTTTAGAGATGAGTCATCGGATATCCTCCATTTTGCCAGTTAGACAAGGTTTAAAAGAGCAAGCTTGGCCAGTAAAGCGAATTGTACAGATTCCTTTGTTGAATAAGAAAGATAGACATTCGTCGTCAGATAGCTTGACCGATATGGGTATCCATTTTATCAAAAATGCTCGTCTTCAAGATGAAGAAAATGGTGCAGTTTTATTATATTTCCAAGTTGATCAACAGGAACTTTATTCTCATGTGATTTTGGAACTTTTGGAACAAATCATGTCAAAACATTGTTTCGATGATTTGCGCACAACTCAACAACTCGGTTATGTTGTTGCGACAAGGGTAAAATATGTCCTCGTCATCAAAGAGTATAATGTAACTATTCATTTTCTAGGCTATTATGATGAGCGAAATAGCTGGTCTACTAATTATTGTTCAGTCTTCCGCATACTCTACACATTATGTAGAGAAGAAGATTCAATTGTTCCTTGAGAATTTTTACGAGAATGTTCTGAAGAAAGGGTTAACAGAAGATGAACTTGCAGATTACTTGCAGGCGTTGAGATCTGAGAAATTGGAACCTGCAAAACGTTTAAGTCAACAGGCCGCTTGGTTTTGGTCAGAAATAAGTTCCCATTCATATTACTATACTCGTTTTGTTGATGAAGCAGCGTGTTTGAACGACATTTCCAGAAATGACTTGTTGAATTGTTTTCATCGCTATTTTCTAAGTGATGAACAACGTCGTATTACAGTTCATATACAGAGCAATAAGGCAGCACAAGACAGTATCACATATAGCAGCGTTTTTACAGATGCTACTCTATTTAAAAGGAGTCAATTCATTTACCCAATAAGACAGCTTTTGAAATTAACAAATGAGAAAATTTCCCAATAGAATCAAAGATTGGCTCTACAATCTTGCATAAGAAGCTGTTTTTTTAACAGTTTAAGGTTTTGTTTTCCAAAAAGAACAAAGGTTAGATGTTTAAAAGACAATAGCGAAGAAAAATATCTTTACATTCATTTTTCAAAACTGAACACTTTATAAATATTTTCAAGTTTGACCAATAAAATGAAAGCACTGGAATCAAAAAGAAGACCTTGTTATCAAGCTCTAATCTTGTTCACTTGATTGAAAAAGACTCCGCAAACTGACCCCACTTGATATAGTATTCACATCATATCGCTTATAAGTGTAGCCTACAAAGGGAACATCCTGTTCATTCAACTCATCAACTTTTCTCAATGCACTCAAGTTTGGTGGTCTCTCTCGAATAGTACCATCTTCTGCCAATTCAAACTTGTCAAAATACTTGACATCTGTTGGACTCGATAAATCAGGAACAAATGGTGCTGGAAGTTTTTGCAAGTTATTCCAATCCACACCTTGGAAAAAGGGCTGCTTCTTAAAGTCTTCCAAACCATTCTTTGCTCCACAGCGGTCTTTGGCATCGGTCAATAATGATTCGATGAGCATGCGAGCTTCCTTTGAGATTTTTGCATCCGACGGAAACTGCAAATGTTCCCTCCAGTTCAAAATCTACAGAAAATGCGTTAATTGTGATGAACCAAAAATAAGTCTAAGATACCTTTCGACAAGTGCTAACTGCATCATCGGCATAAAACGGAGGATAGCCAATGAGCATCTCATACAAGATTACTCCTACACTCCACCAGTCACATTCTTCACCATAACCTCGTCGAAGAAGAACTTCTGGTGCAATATAGTCTGGAGTACCTACAGTTGAAAATACTTTTGCCCTAGCGGCTTGTTTCCAAGCTGCCGTTTTCTCTGATGTGGACATATTACCTAGACTACCTTGTACAACTTCTCCCGTATCAAGTATATCTTTTCCACTTTCCTCTACTCGAAAAGCTTTGCAAAGCCCAAAATCAGAAACTTTCAAATGTCCCCTTGCGTCAAATAATAAATTATCTGGTTTGATATCTCGGTGTATGTAACCTAGACGGTGGATGGAATCTATTGCCACAATCATTTCAGCTGCATAAAAACGAGTCTCTTCTTCTGTGAGAATATCTCTTCGCATGAGTAGACTCATAAGATCACCACCAGGAAGATACTCCATAACCAAATAGAGGTACTTTTCATCTTGAAAGGAATAATAGAGTTTACAGATGAAAGAATGATCAGCCTCGACTAGAATGTCTCTTTCTGCTTTGACATGTGAAGCCTGTTCCTTTCTCAGCATTTCCGATTTGCGCAACTTTTTCATGGCGAAATATTCCTTGGTCTCTCGTTTCCGAACAAGTCGAACTTCACCAAAGGCACCTCTTCCAACAACTTCGACTGTTTCAAACTGGTCCTCTGTCATCCTTCTGTGTGCATCTCTCATAAACCTCAGTTCTCTATTCAAAAGTTCTTGTCTATACTTTTTCTTTTCACCTTCGCTCAGTTTCATGGCTGCGAGTTTGCTCTCAATCTCGTTCTTTCTCTTGCTTCTCTCCGACAAGTCGTTACATAAAGACTTGTAATACTTTTCAATTAGGCTTTTGGCTATAGTTGCTCGAGTTTTACCGGTCTTTTCAGAGTCTGCCATATACAATGAGTACTCAAAACATTCGGCAACACGGAATCCCGCCTTGATCAGAGAAAAAGAAAGAGACACGACACCAACCAAATCTTTATTATTGGGATGATTTTGCTATTAAGAAATTCTAACAGATCAATAAAAATATTTTAAAGACAAAAACAGAAAGACATGAAATTTCCACAGTAGTTAAATTGAAGAGAGTTTAAACTCTATGACAATTATCTGAAAGCTACTGTCTTCATGATTTTGTCGCTCTGATTGTTTGAATATTCTTTGCCAGTGAAACAAATCTTGTCGTACTTCGTAGCACCAATATAGGCGAATGACGAGTTTGAAGCCTCTTTTTTACTTGGCATGCAACAATGAAGGGCTTGAGTTTATATGATGTTTTGTTGATTTCTAATTTATCAAAATCGATATGATGTTGAGTTTCCAACGAATTGAGTCTACCATACCGATTCTCCTCTCGTATCTTGTAATTGTATAGAAGTTGAATCATAGTTGAATTCCTTCTCCTCAATAGTCGACTATATGGTTGAGGTGTTGTTGAAGGCAAACATGACTGTTTAGGTTTAAAGGCTTTTGCTGCGTCCTCTTGTAGGATAGACTTTGTTAAAACCACAACTTTTAAAGATATACAAGAAAGCAAACTATAAAAAATACAAAGCTGCTTTAGGAACGAGATAACCTCGAGAGGACGGTGAGTCACTATACAAAAGTTCCTCGCGTTAGACACTTGGCAGAAGACTCTTCCGAAATATAGCCTGATGGGCACATTGGTAGAGCCCTCTTTTTGGGTATTTGTAACGAGAATCAAAGACAACTCATCGTTTTGTATCAACAAACAGTCTATAAATACAAGAAACGTTCAATTCCACTAGAAACAAGTCAAACATAAAGAAGAAGAGAAAAATAATTTTATCCAAGTTGCTCTACAAAGAATAAAAATGTCGCTTTCAACTTTGCAATACTCAGCGGAATAAGATAATACAATTTATCTGATTTTTTTGTTGAGTTCATCGCAAATTGTATTGTGTTTGTTACTATCCAAACTCGTGAAGGAAGGTCTTGTTCTTTTACATATATTGGATCAATTTCGTCTCCTAGTGAAAAAAAAGAATATAAACGTAGAAATAATGGAAAAATAAGAATCTTTCATCTGCTCTTGGCAAAGTGAAAAAGAAAGGTGAATTTTGAAATATATGTGCAAGGAGAAGCAAAAGCATCACCACTTTTGCTCTAATACCAGTCAAAACTCTCTACAAGTTGTTTATGAAGAGAACAAAGCGAGACCCTCGTAACTTTTGAGGTTCGATCCTCCTTATCGTAGGTAGTTTATGTACGAATTTGTGTATAGACAAAAGTATTCCCAACCTTTGGTCAGTTTTTTACTATTGTCCTGTCCTCTGTATACTTTCCAATTCTACGGTTGAATATATGATTTATTCTTCTTTATAACTCGTAATCGAACAAAGATTGTTCCTTGAGCGTATTTGCATAGAAGGAAAGGTTCTAGTTCTCTCATTGCAAGCCAAACAGAGTTAATGTCACTGAAATTAGAAAATGACCATTTTACACCTTTAAGGAGTTTTCCTTAATTTTGAGTGACCAACAAAGAAAGGTTCTCAGATCGAGAACGAGTCAAAAACTAGTTGTAGCAAAACCGTTCTTGATTTGTTATCAAAATAGGGTCACAAGTAGTTTGAAATTTACCTTGCAGAGACAAGATTGATCAAACTCAACTCTGTTAAAAGGCTACATTGTCGCAAGGGAGTTGCGAGGACCTTTGTTACGACACTGTTCTTCTCTTTTCACAACAATACTGAGATGTGAAATTGATTGTATCTAGCACACTTATTGTTCCAGAAACTTTTTACATATCTCCAAGTGAAATATTTTCTTTCATAAAACTCACTAGTCACTCAAAATAATATATCTCCAGTGAAAGGAGACAATACAAAGCGATCCTTCTCATAACAATCCAATTAGAAATGAACACAATGGTTTGATTGTTGGATGGAAAGGAAGGCTCAGTGAGTGTTGTCAAGGCTGTGGACCTGGTTCAAGTTTGTTAGTGAAACTTTTCAGACTTTAATTTCCAAAGCGAATTCGTCGTTTGTTTTAGTTGGACAAGTGAATTTCTATTATCTACGTTTCTTTTTTAAGCCCTGCAAATGTTTCTTTTAGAACAATCCATCGATTCCTGAGCTCTGAGTTCCATGTAGACTGTAGTTTCTTTTTAGTATGTACAAATTTTATTATCTCTTTGGAGTTTATATACTTTATGCAACACTTGTTGTTATTTCACTTCTGGTCTTGTATGGAAATTTGAGATTAGCGTTGTCGAGAAGAGAGCAAAGACAAAGGAGTATAAGCTGTCGTTGAGTGTTGGTACTTTAGTCAACTAGTTGTCTCACAAGTTTGTTTATTTCTATCGATAATTGTTTCAGAGCAGTTTTGCGTATGTATTAGCAGTTGATAGTCTAATCTTGTAGTCTGTTGTCGAGAATCAGTCTTTGGGTTGATATTTCCAAGATATTCTGCAAGAACAAGAAACCAGCCAGACTCTCAGTTGAGTCTTTTAGTCAGTACACAGAATTATATTCCGTATAGTAGTTTTTTGCCTTCTATATGACTCTTTTCACGATGTAGAAATCGGTCTGTAACTCTGCAACAGGCATTTCTCAGGATAGCATAGGACAGTCTTGAGTCCATCATTGCATATTTTCAATGATTGTTTGTATTGTTGTGCTTTTAGATCAATTCTCTATTGATACGAGTATGTCTTTTGAAATATTATGGATGTGGGTCTTTAGATAACGAAAGCTGAATATACTTGTATTTTGAAAGCAAGGGAACAGTTTTTAGTTCAAAATATACTCAACTTGTTGGGAACCGTGAAATAAAGCAAGCAAAAGAGCATTGCTGAAAGTCATGGTTATGTCCACCTGGTAAATGTTTTGACGATAGCGACTGTAGCTACTAGTCCGTTTTGAGAAACGCCTTTGTTTTTATGAATTACTGGTTTTACCGAGGGTGAAATATGTCTAAAACGATACATAAGTCGTAAGAGTGATAGTAGTGGAACTAGTATTGCTGTTGTTTCTGAAAGGCATCTATTGCAAATCGTCTTTGGTCCTTATATAGTTGAAGAGGAGGGTAACATTAGTAGTACGGTGTGAATGGGAAACAAGGCGACTTGTGTGAAACAGTATTTGCATGTCAAGTGTGCTGCTGATCTGTTTTTTTCCAACACACTGAAAGTCATGCTGTTGAAAGTAGTGGTAGTTGTAGCTGTCAAAAAGTGAAAAGGAAACTTCACATTTTGTGCAAACAGCTTGCGTTTGGATAGTATACAAAGTAGCTCTGAAAGACATTCATGAAGGATGGGTTGAACTTCAACAATATTACACGAGTGCAAACATTGATGTCATCGTGTCCGACTAGAGTCTTAGTTTGACTCTGAAAATAAAGTCCAACTTTTGGTAGATAATTCCTAGAAAGCATACGCAGACGAACAAAGTAGTTTGCACATTGGCACAAACCATAAAGCATTTTTCTATTATCGCTGCAAAATCAAACCATTCGCCACTACTTGAAATTCAACCACAGCAACAACAACAAATATGAGCCCAAGCCTACTGCAGCATGGCACAGTCATCAATTCTACAAAGAGAATGATTCCTGCTTCTATCTTTTACTCTTTTCTTCGTTGTTGGCATGAGCGGAGAATTGCAATTGTTTTATTTACTTCGAATTGTAAAATGACAGCAACGACAACGACAACAAGTGAAAGTTATACTGTAATACTGAGTGTTACATGGAATATTAATAATAGTTTTTGTGATAAAAGTACGAATTTGACATATTTTTTACCATAAAGGAAAATTGTATTGTTGACGTTACAAAATAAAAGGGCACTATTTGCACACTTACGACTATTCCTGTACCTTACTATCAGTAGAACTACACACGGTTCTGATTTTGAACAACAAATAGGGTATCGAGTTGTTTACTGGTCGATTTTCGATTTTGCTTGTACATGTTTGAGACTAATCTTTATCTTTTGACTCTTGAAATGAACTTATTTGTTATCTTATGATAGTATGATGAAGCAACTAGTGGTCATTTATTTTCCGAAAACGTCGACGTACAACCTTTCAGAAGCTTTTTTCATTGGAAATCCCGATCACAAAGAATCTCTTTGTCCCGTGATAGTTGCGTTGCATTTGTAGGGATGGGTAACTCCAAGTGATCAAATCAAGACAATTTCGTCAGTTGAATCAAGTAATCTTTGACAAGTGAACTTGCAGTATCATGAAAGTGTACAACATACTGTTTTCTGTGATCTAGAATCTACTACTGATTTATCTTGATACATTGTATTGTTCTTATGTCGAAACTACACCTTTTGACTATTTATGCTTCAGAACAATTCCATCTTACTTGTTCGACCCTAAGACCAGCTTCATATGGAGTAGTCATCTAGCTGATAAGGATAAGATAATATCTCTATCTCGTTTTTTCTCTTCTTTATCGGTGTAATTGTAGAATGGTGAAGATCTTGTTTTTTAGAGTTGTAATATGTTCTTACAAGAAAAGGGATGAAGATGATAGAAAGTAGTATTCAAAGACTGCAGGATGATGTAAATTCAAAGAAAGAAGCAACAAGATTGCAGCCAAAGTTCTCTATAAACGATTTGCTGGGAATAGAAATTGAACTTGTCTTAGCACGAAATACTGGTTGTTTTCCCTTATTCATATGAATTGTTATAAAGAACAAAAATTTATGTTTTACATAGTATATACTTTTCAATGAAAGAATATAGGAAGGTTAGTTGAAAGAAATTCAAGGAAAAGAAGTAAATGAATGCTTCCCTGGCTTCACAGGGTTAAAATATCAGACCTATGATTTACAGATTTTGAGGTTGATCCTCACAAAAAGCAAGCAAAATCAACTCTGTGATTTTTACACAAGTAGCAGCAAAACATAAATTGATAGTCATGTTCTAACTTCAGGATCTTATAGTATATCCTTTGATGCTTGAACTCTTTTCACAACCTTTGGTGGTTTTCATCCACCTCTTAATCTTGGACTATTACCACAATTGATTCAAGTCATAAATAACAATGTATTTATGCCGTACCAATACCTTGTTCCTATTGATGAGTTGAATTTGAATCTAATTTCAGAGTGATATCCGAAACAATTCTGGTTACAGCCGTATTGAAGGAAGTAATAATCACTTACTTGCTTTAGAGTACTCTAAATCTTACCACTTCTAGTTAAATCTCAACAGGATATGGCACAATTATTCTAGTAGATACGTAACAAAAGGTCTATTTGATTTCTTCCTTCTCAACGTATCTAGAAACTGGTTACTGTTTTATATTACTTGAATTGTATACTGAATTCAATGATTTACTGTTCATTGGAAAGAAAGTAAGATATTTCTTGATACTGTTCATTTAAGATGACATTTTGTGTAAGAGTTGGTCATTTGTTGATTACTAGTTGAATATCTCATCGAGAAGAAATTCTGTTTCATAAGTAAATGAAATGTCCTCTATGGTTGATTCAACTTTTGAATTCTTAGAGATTATACTGAATTTATCGAACGAGTTAGTCCTTATCCCGAGAAAAACGATTTTCCATATAGTACTAGTATTAGTGTTATTACTAAAGATACCGAGGACTAGGGAGCTGAAGACTTGGTTTGAGAAAAACTTGCTAGTGTTTGAGTGTCCAATTATTCCTCCGCGATACTTGCACTCTATTTGCGATAATGGATACGTTTTCGTTGACCATCTCATCCTAGATAGCTTCGCGAATCGACTCAAGCCGTGAATCGTATTATACCTTTGCAGCGCCACGAATATTTGCTACTAGTTTATATATTTTGATATTAACTAGTTGTTTGTTTAGATATAACCACGTTAACCTATACTTGATTCAGTTGATTACTACTTGTCTTGAAGTGCTTTCAGTAATATCATTTCGTTCCAACCAAGCATTACTGGGTACGCTATAGTCACTTTGCAGACAAGAATCAGATGTCAATCTTTTTTCAAGTATTCGCATCTAAATGCGTTGCTTGTTAGAAACGTTCAAAGTTAGCTATTGAAATATAGCCCTAGCAATGAATGGAATCAATGTGTTAGACAAGATAGCGGCACAACTCGATGCACAAAAAGTTGAATCAATGTTTCCATTCAAAGCCAATTAGTTGGTCGTAAGACTAATATACGTTGTTATCTTTTTAGGGGTATCTACGAGAGAGTTGGTTGAATTGTCATTATGTGGACATTGGGTTATCCAATAGAGTTTCTGTTAGATAGTGTTTGTATAAGATGGATTCTTTAAGGTAGAATTGATACTTTATTGAATACTAGTTGTCAAGTTGAGAAAGACTTTGTACCTTTGCACTTGAAATCTCGATGTTGCATGTACAGAGTCTTTATATCCGAAGCAGTGTCTTATGTGGTCTTTAGGTACCCTGTATGCTTGATTCAGCGTCGAATTGTCCAAGATTATCTTGAATTGAC